GATGTGGAATTGGGAGATGTAGAAGAATGATGTTGACTCCTCTTTAATGTAAAATTGAAAAATCGGTAGTACTACAGGTCATCTTTTTGTGTTTTTCTTCCAATTAAACAAGGATTCACGTGCTGGGTGCTGGTGGCTCATGCCTGTAATCCTAGCTACTCAGGAGGCTGAGATCCCAGGACTGCAGTTCGAAGCCAGCTCAGGCAGAAATGCCTCTGTGAGACTCTTATCTCTAATTAACCACTTAAAAACTGGAAGTGGTGCTGTGGCTCAAAGGGCTAGAGCATTAGCCTTGAGCACAAAGAGGCTCAGGCTTAGCACCTAGGCCCTGAGTTCAAACCCCACTACCAAGAACAACAACAAAAGATTAGCTTTAAAAGACAGTTGTTTTTTTTTTTTTTTAATTTTTTTGGGGGGTCCGGTTGTGGGGCCTGAACTCTGGGCCTGGGCACTGTTCCTCAGCTCAAGGCTAGCACTCTACCACTTGAGCCACAGCGCCACTTCTGGCTTTTTTCTTTTTGCTTATGTGGTGCTGAGGAATTGAACCCAGAGCCTCATGCATGCAAGGCAAGCGCTCTACCACTGAGCCACCTTCCCAGCCCCCAATTGAATTCTTATTACCTCTTCTGAGGCAAAGTTCATTTGTTGAACCTTTCTTAGCCACTGTGACTGCCATCTCCAGTGTCTTCAGGGCCTGCTGTGGGCACTGGGTGAAGCCAGATGTTGGGGGGTGGTGTGGGGTGGGGAGGCAGTGAAGAGTGTCAGCATCAGGTCTCACCATCTGTGGAGCCCACCCAGACAGGGGAGGTCAGGAAGACCCTTTCTCCGTGGCAGACCAAAGCCTGTGTCCATGGCGTGAACCTGGGTGTTCTGTGCTTGGCTGGTGACAATGCCAATGGCGGGTTGATTGAATATTTTCCTTCGGTGCCATGCCCTAGCCTAAGCGTTTTCCATCTTTTTGTTTGTTGGTTTGTTTGGGAATATCTGCTTCTTCCTTTCTTCCAGCAGATGAGCTGGATGAGTCCATCAGTTGAGCACAGGTAGCAGGCTAGACCCGACTACCCCTAGTCACAAGAAAGGTGACGAGATCAAGGCCCACACAGCGCGGCTGCCGCTTTGAGGCTTTGGAAATTACAAAGAGAAACGTGCCTTCTGCCCCATCATCCACCGGTCATTACCCAAAAAAAGTAAAAGAACGGTCCTGTGCAGGGTGAGCCTTGCTGGAGTGCCTGGTGGGGTGGTAGATTGGCCTGCATAGGAAAAAACAAGCCCCAGCACTCCATGGCGAGTGGCGAGTTCCTTCCTGGCCCGTATTGTTTTCCCAGTTATAGACAGGAAACACTCAAGTGTGTTTTCAGGCTCAGAACATTGGGCACAAAGAAGGCTCTGACAAAGCACAAAGCTTAGGGCTGTGCAGCAAAACGTCTGATTTACAGCAATCTGACTGAGCAAGCGTTATTCTTATTATTAGATTACATTGTTGGCTGTTTTCTACTGCCTTTGGGTGTCATGATAGTTCAGTCTGTTGTCCCCCACCCTTGATAAATTTAAAAAGCACAGCAGCAACTCAAGACAGCATACCTCATACTTATCTGGCAGGGGAAATACCATGGTCAATGGGGAAAAAAAAACCACAGCAATATTTCCTGGTAAATTCACCTGCCTGTTTGAGTGAGCACCTTTCTGGTGTTTCGAATACTGAATGATTGCTAGACATTGCTCAAGTAAAAACTCCACATCACCATCAAGATGAACTCTTTTTCAAGATAATTCAGTGGGGTATCAGTGACTCATTTCTGTAATCCTAGCTGCTTGGGGGGCTGAATCTGAGGATTCTAGTTCAGTGCCAGCCTGGGCAGGGAAGTCCCTGAGACTCTTTATCCCCACTTAACCACAAAAATCTGGAAGTGGAGTTGTGGCTCAACTGGTGGTGTACTAGCCTTGAGCAAAAAGCTTATGGAGAGTGCCCAGGCCCTGAGTTCAAACTCTAGCACCAGCACCAAAAAATTAATTAAATTAAATCAGCATATGATCAGTCTCAGGGAAGAAGGAGATCAGATCGTTTGGGCCCAAGTCAGGCCAGCAGAGGGTCTCTGTGTAAGAGAGCCCCCAGTTTCTGTGCTACATTCCAAGGCCATGCTCTGGTTCCCAGGCTGAACTCCTTTCTGGTGAGCTTGAGAAAATGTTAAATAGGCCTTCAGACTTTTCTCTCATACTGAGAGAAGAGATTCCAGAGCTCAAATGAGATCTGTCACAGACACAGGGACCTATGCAGATGTTTGATCCTGGGTAGAGACTAAAATGCAAGTTATCTTCTCAAGGGTGGTGTTTTCCTAGAGGAGAGGAGGGGAGGCTGTTGGTGAGAGGAATGGAGGTGGTGGGGGAATCTCTGGCCAGGTGTGTTCCTGCTAGCTTCAAAAAGAGCCTGCTGGTCTGACCTCTTAGTCAGCTGGTGCTTGTTTCACTTACTGCATTTGGCACTTCAGTAATGCATGCCAAGCAAGGGCTAGGATGGCATATTTTGGCCTGCTGCTGGTAGAATTTGTTCATAGGGTTAAGAGTTGGCCAACTGTAGGTGCTGAGGCCTTGACTTTGTCTCCAGGCCCTGATCCTGGGGCCTGAGGAGGTATTCCAGTCAGGGCAGAGTCCCAGTTTCCCCTGGAATTAGATTCTCCGGGCTAACTGGGCCTCTCTGTGACCCTGGCCATGGATCCTCTGTGGCAATGCCCGGCTTGACTGATATGCCACTGCCCTTCAGCACAGGCTGGAAGGCACCAAGGGGCTCCTGTCTCCTGCCCACAGCTGTGCTGCTTTACGCTTTGTGCAGTTGTGTGTGAGAGAGAGAGAGAGAGCACATGTGTGCATGTGTCATGTGTGTGTGTGCACATACATGCTGGTCCTAGGGCCTAGGTGGTGTCCCTGAGCTTTTGTGCTCGAGGCTAGGGCTCTACCACTTGAGCCACAGCTCCACTTTTTGGTAGTTAATTGGAGATAAGGACTTTCCCTCCCAGGCTGGCTTTGAATCTTGATCTTTAGATGTCAGCCTCTTGAGTAGTTGGGATTACAGGCGTGAACCACTGTCACCTGCCTGAGCTTTGTGTTTTGAGGTCACTTTAGTCTTCCCTCCCCTCTCTCCCTGTATGTCTCCCCTCCCTCCTTCTCTCTTTTGATCAGACTTTCCTCCTCTTGTATTGGTTTATAGCCAAGGTCAGGCAGTCCTGCATACTGCCATACAGCTTATAAAAAGGGCAGACTTTTCTAGTTCATTTTGGACTCTCCCTGACTCCACTAAAATTCAGACTCTTCCTTCTCTTTAAAAACTTCCTTGTTGCATCCACATCTTGGGAATTTAGTAGCTATGTTAAAAGACTTGGCTCGAATCACCACCTGAACTGGAAATCCGTGATGGCACTTAGGTGGCAGCAATTGTGGATGGTATGTAAGGCAGCAAGGCAGCTTTCTGTACTTGTCAGCTTTCCATCACCATGACAAAATCCCTAGAGCAGGCCCACTCAGAAGAAGGGAAGGCTTGCTGGCTCGGTGTCACAGGCTCCGGTCCATGATCAGTGGCAGCACAGTAGATGGGGGTGGAGCACATGGCATAAGAAGCCTTTTGCACACCAAGAAGCAAAGAGAGAGGCAGGGCCCCAGAATCCCCTCCCAGGGCACACCCCCAGAGGCCTAACTTCCTCCTCCTAAAGATTCCACTGCCTTCCCATAATGCTGCAGACTTATACATCAAGCCTTCACCTAACTGTTTGATTGATCTGTCGAATCCATCTTCTGATGGTTGGCCACCATCTTGGTTTCTGGGAAGGTTTAGGGCTGTGCAAAGGGAGAGTTATGAAATACTTTGTTTCTTTTTGAGTTAAAGACGGAAGGAATACTCAGTTGTTACTGTTGCCTGTTTTGGTCTAGACATGTATTTGCATAATGTTTCTAAGTGAAATTTAGGAAGAGATCCTTTTTTTTTTTTTTTACCCCCTGGTTGTAGTGGTGCTTGCACCCAGGGCCTGTCCCTGAGACTCTTTGTGCTCAAGGCTAGCACTCTATCACTTTGAGCCCCAGTGCAATTTCTGGTTTTTGAGTGGCTAATTGGAGCTAAGAGTCTCACGGGGACTTTTCTGCCCAGGCTGGCCTCAAACAGTGATCCTCAAATCTCAGCTTCCTGAGTAGCTAGGATTACAGTTGTAAGCCACTGTAGCCCAGCAACACAGGATCCTTTTAAGAACTGAACGTTAAGCTTTGAGAGAGGAATCCTATTCTCTAAAGGGCAGCCTCAGACCTTCTCCAAGGAGGTCCTGAGCAGGTAGGGGCCTATCTTCAGACTCGCTGAGTTAGAATAGAGTCCTCTATGCATCCTGTGAAAGGGTGATTGAAAGAAGCAAGGCACTGGGTGAATCTGTACGTGCTCAAGTGGAGAACCACTGCCTTGAAACCATGGATTCTTCTGTTGGGTTACAATTTTCTGCACACATTGTGTATGTTTATGTGTGTGCATATGTGTGTGCACATGCATGTGCATGTCTGCTGGTACTGGTGCTTGAACTCAGGGTCTGGGCCTTGTCCTTAAGCTTTTTCACTCAAAGCTGGCTCTCTACCACTTGAACCACAGCTTCACTTCTAGCTTTTTTTTTTCATTAATATTTATTTTTATTGTTATTATGAAGGTAACCTACAGAGTGGTTACAGTTATATAAATATGTTAGGTAATGAGTAGATTTGTTTTTGAACAATGTTACCCAGGGTTTTTTTGGGTGGTTAATTAGAGATGAGTTCACTTATCCCCTAGTCTGGCTTCAAACTGTGATCCTCAGATCTCAAACTCCTGAATAACTAGAATTACAGGTGTGAGCCACTGGCACCTGGCTCCGTTTTTGTTATTCTTTGGTTTTACTTAACCTGCCATCCGATGTGCATGTCAGGGAACTTTCCTCACAAGTTTCACAAGTTGCTTCTTCTGGATTTTAATTCTGAATATTTAATTTTTCCCCCCACAGAGCTGAGAAAACAGAAGTCCTCAGTGAAGATCTATTACAGGTAACAAAAGAAAGTGTCCTTAATGTGATCTGTTTAAAGACATAGAATGAAAAAAGAAATCCAAGGCCAATGATTATGTATATACTTCAGCAGGAGAGCATGTTTGTTTGTTTTTTTTCTTTTTTAAGCTGGAAGGGAATAAAACAAATGGGCTTGGTTTTGACAGGAAAGGGAAGTGGCAGAGTATGTGGTGCTAGCAAGAGGATCTGAAACCCTAGTGTCATGTTAGTTCAGATGAGGCTGTCCTGTCTCCCAGTGCCAGGTCCTGGGAGGGGTGGAGCCTGGCCAGGCTCTGGCACCGTGACCCAGTCATGGGTCCTGGGCAGGCTGAGGCTCTAATCTGCTGTCCAGCCAGTGTCCTTAGTAGGCAAAGAAAGCACTGTCAGCTGAAGACAAGGCCTTCTAGTTGCAACTCAGAGCTTAGATCTCTGTCCTTCCTAGGCTCTTGCTCCCCAGCTTGGGCTGGCAGGTCCTGGTGACAGGACACAGGTCCAACACCATCCCGAGGCCCAACCTCCTTTCTTCTCATTCCCTTCAGTACATTCTGGCTGGCACCATTCCATTCCACCTGCTGTGATTCTCTTAACCGTAGTGCTGGGAGTTTCTTCTGGACATAGAACAGTTTCTGCTCATTCCCTGATGCACGGATGAATTCTTAGGAGGGGCAAGCTTCCTTACCTGTCTGCTTGCTTTTCATTTTCTCTTTTTTTTTTTTGGCCTGGTCGTGGGACCTGAACTCTGGGCCTGGGCACTGTCCTTCAGCTCAAGGCTAGCGCTCTACCACTTGAGCCACAGCACCACTTCTGGCTTTTTTCTTTTTGCTTATGTGGTGCTGAGGCATCGAACCCAGGGCCTCATGCTTGCAAGGCAAGCGCTCTACCACTGAGCCACCTTCCCAGCTCATTGCTTTTCATTTTCTATAACCTGTAGCAGGTCTACCCACATGAGCACCTGAGCACCAAAAGTTTGCTCCTAGGTGCCTGTCTTCCCATGTAGAAGAGGAAGTGGCATAATTTAGAAAAATGCTGCTTTTACTACACCAGGACAAAGCACCTTTGTAAGTCCTCAGCCATCTGTAAATGGCCTGTGGTCAGTCATTCCTCCATATTCACAGGTGGAGAGGAGTCTTATGAAATGGCCTGGAGTTTGGCAATCGCCTGTGCATCCTCCTGCTTACTTTCAGTCCCCTGTGGATGGCTTGTAACCCGGTGAAATGTTCGTGCTAAGGCAAACAGCTGTTACACTGTATTGTTTATGGAATAGTGACAAGGAAACAGTCCACACAAGTCAGTGCAGTTGTTTTCTTCTTGAAAACTCTTAATCCACTTAGCGAAATCTATGTATGCAGAACTCAGGTTTGGGGTTCTGTTTTACTTCAGTTTTGGATGCTAGGAATTCAACCCCAGGTTTGTGCATGCTAGGAATGTACTCCACCACTGGCCTATGCCCCTCCCCCCAGCCTATATGACTTTTAAAAGCATTTCTTCCCTTCCCCCTGTCCCTTTTTCCTCCTTTCTCTCTCCCCCTTCCTTCCTTTCTTCCTTCTTTTTTATCTTTTTTTTTTTTTAAGACTAGAAGCCTTTAAAATATTAAATAGAAGTTTTTGAAAAGCTTATTGAGGGAGCATAGTTATTAAATGTTTAATATCTATTCTTAGATTTTAACGTGTTTTAAATTCATTTTCAGGATTCTGCTTAAGCATGCTAGGTTTTTTCTCTCCCCATCTCACGTGAGCAATACAGAAATTATAGAGTGTTATCTCATTTACAACCTGAGGCCTAGGCCTGCACAGGTACCTGGAGATGGCTGAATGAATGCTCATGGCCACAACCATAGGGGATGGACAGTGTCTTATCATTCATTGTCCCTTAGAGTAAATGGCTGAGAGCATTGCCAATCCCTAGAAGCTCCTGCCTTAATGGCACAGATCTTCACTTCTGCTACTTGCGCAGGTGTTTTCCCTCTTCCCTCAGAGGGCCGACTTTGGTACCCAGCTTCCTGTGTGAGCATGCTGGGCTGCTGCTGGCCAACTCTCTTACCTTAAGGACCTACTTCACCTACTGGTCCCTTAGGTTCCAGCTCTCTCCAGGATGGAATGCCCCACACCTGGGCACCACTAGGAGGGTTTAATGAGTTCACCATGGGAAGTACAGATAATGGATGAGGAATGTAATTTGGTGTTAGTCTTAGGATCATTGCAAGCCACAGAGATATATGTTGTTTTCTCAGGTAAAAAGAACCTATGATTTGTTCTTCCTTTTCCCATTTCTTTCTTAGGTCTCTTAGAGCCTTTCAAGGGCTGAATTTTGCTTTTGTTGGGTGGAGTTGCCCCAGGAGGCTGTAGATCCCAGGAGAACAAGAACCTCAAGCTGTTACTGTTTTTCTAATACACAACCCAGGGACCCAACAAATACTTGTTCTGTTTGCTCACACGTAATATGTGAGCAGCTTCTGATCCCAGGAGAGACAGTGCTGTGGGCTATGAAAGAGGCAGACCCATTATACCAAGTTTATCAAGATTATCAAAACTATATAATGATAAAAAATGATATCAAAATTTAGTCACGGGACTTTGTTTTGTTTGTTTTGCTCTCATGGCAGATGTTTTAGAATATTATCACTGCTCGATCCGGGAGGTAATGGGAGTATGCTCCTAGTCTACCTGCCACATCTGGGGTCTGGTGGCCCGAGTTTGGGTCTGCGGATGAGCAGCCCAAGTTGGGGGGTTCTTTCAGGAAAGAGGTGCAAAGCAACAACTCGTGCGCTAAAACCTCTGAGGACAACAACATATATTTTGCTTCAAAAATGTTGGCTTTTCTTGAAAATAGAAAGCGTCCCCAAGGGCCTGCTCTCACTCTCCATGAGTCATCAGAATACACATTTTTGGCATTCCTTCCCGTAACAGGCAACTCTGTTTGCCATAAACAGCCATATCCCAGGAAAAGCTACTCAGGACGCTTGCGTCCCCGAGCCAGCGTTTCCTCCTGCTTTGGACATCTTACAAACAAAAACAAAAACACTCCCTAAGCCTAATAAGGAATACTTTTAGAACATAGGTGGTAAGTTGCAGTTGTAGACACTTGATTTTGACCATTGCCCTTGCGTGTTGTGTGCATAGGCTCCCCAGCTGCGAGCTAGAGAGGCATTCTGGTCTCCCTTTGGCTTCTCCCACTCAGCAGTGGGTCTGGGCCTGGACGGGTCAGTACAGTTCTGCTTGGCTGGATCCAGGGCCTTGCTGGTGCCATGGTGGGCCAGCTGACCACCACCTGACAGGAAGGCTTAGCGAGGGCGGTCCCCTTCCCCTGCATGGATTTCACTTTGAAGGGGTCTAATGCCGTCAGCGCTGGGGAGATAGTGGTTCTCAGCCAGGGCTGATTTTGCCAACCTGGAGAAGTTGGACAATGCCTGGAGACATTTTTGGTTGTCACACAACCAGCAATGGGGAGCCACTGGTGTCTTATGGATAGAGGCACTGCTGGATAGTGTGCAGTGCACCGAGCAGCCCAGAGTTGCCTAAGCTGGGATCCACGTCCATCCACACCCAGAAGCCAAAGCGTGAGACTGCAGAGTGCGTCTCCTCACCCCCATGACAGCATCACACACTGAAGAGGCTGAATGCAGACGGTTCTCTGTCTCTGCCTTGTCAGATCGAGCGGCGCCTGGACACAGTGCGGTCAATGTGCCACCATTCCCACAAGCGCCTGATAGCATGCTTCCAAGGTCAGCATGGCACCGACACGGAGAGGAGACATGTGAGTATCAGACGCTCCCGTCTTCCTGTGGCTTTGACCCGCTTGGTGGATGGGGTTTTCCAGAGCAGCATCAGCAGGTTCGCCTTCAGATTGGTTCTTCCGTCACCGTTCTTGCCTGTGGCACCTCCTGACCACACCACTTTATTGTCTAGGCCGTCCCAGGTCTGACTGCTCTGCTCCCCGAATCTTCTCCATGAGCCTTTACGGCTTTGATAAATCACTGGTCACTGACAGGACAATGGGCATGTCAGTGAGGAATCTTTTGGCACAAACCTGAAGACTATTGCAGATTGATGATGGAAAGCACTTACTGGCTGAAAAGTTCAGACATTGGGGTGGGCTTGGTCAGACTGGGTGTGGCATTTTAGTGATAAAACCACAGACCAGCCTCATTCCATCTCTCCCATTGCCTTCTTTGGTGTCTGCTTCTTTTGGACACTAGTTTCCTAGTGGTCGTGAGCTGGGCCCCATGAAAGTCTGCTTCCTATGTCTCCCTCCACCTGGAGAGAACAGGTCTACCAATAGCTTTCTTAATGGAACTGTTGTAAGGCTAACCCAATAAATCCAGTCAGCAAGATACAGAGAAGACACCACTTAAGAGGCCAAATTATGAGTCTTTATTGGAGAGCCGGTGGACTGCTGGTAGACTCACGTCTTGATGACCAGCAGCTCATGGCAGCTAGTACAAAGCTTATGTAGACCCAAACCACATAAGTTGTGTGGAATCAAACCTAACAAAAGCAAAGCACACCGGATGAGGACACTTAAACCTAATAGAAAAGCAAAATAGCTTGGGAAACAATCAGGAGACATCAAGGGCCACTTATCTAGGAGAAGCATTACCCAGTCTCTTTATTTCAGAATGAGACAGCTTCTCTTTTTTTGGCAGCTGTAGCGCATGAACTCAGGGCCTGAGTGCTGTCTCTGAGCACTTTTGCTCAAGGCTCATGCTCTACCACTTTGAGCCACAGTTCCACTTCTGGTTTTCCGGTGGTTAATTGGAGATAAGAGTCTCACGGGGACTTTCCTGCACAGGCTGGCTTTGAACTGCAATCCTTAGATCCTAGCCTCTAGAGTAGCTGGAATTACAGGCATGAGCCACGGTTGCCCAGCTGAGGGAGCTTCTTTTTCCAAGCCCTTGGCAGGGATTGAGGTTTAGTTCAATGGAAGAGTACTTGCCTGGCAAGTGCAAAGCCCTGAGTTCAGTCCTTAGCTCTGAGAGAGAGAGAGAGAAAAAGCTATAAAAGCCCTTGGCAATGACATTTCTGATCTGTATCAAATCATATTTCCCATTCCACTCCAGTTCCAGGGCTGAGGGGTGAGGCTGGGTGAATTGGTGGGACATGCTGGTGGGCCCAGCCCTGGAGTCTCTGGTCTGCCCTGCCGCTCCTAGGCTAGAAGGGATCCCAAAGGAAAACCAGGATACTATAGGAGAGGAGAAGGTTGGATTCTGGGAGGACCAGGATCATCCATTTTGTACTACAGCATGCTTTGGTAAAGGCCCCAGGGGCCATCAGCAGAACACAGCTGCTTTGCACCATCAGGCAGTTGGGTTCTTGTTTTTCTAAGCTCCTTATGAGCGTATGAGCATGTGCTCACATCCTCATGTGCCACATTAGAGTGGCAGTTTCAGTGGCACACTGGGAAGCGAGGGCTTGCTGTGTTTAGTTGGTCACTGGGTGGCTCAGGGGGGAAAGAACTCATCTTCAGATGTCTGCGCCAGGCTTCTTAAGCACTTTGACCACAGGGTTCTCCCTGCACAGCAGTCGTGCAAGTCCAGAGTGCACGTTTGCATACACCCAGGGTCACAGGAATACTTGCTTCTGGGCTGCCTTTCAGGACCAGACCCTGAGCACTGATCCCATCTCTGCTGTTCCTCATTCCCTGGCCCTGACTGCTCAGTCTGCTTGCCCTCGGTATAATTGTCTCTTAAGAATGTGCTTTCCTCATTCTCCCAAGTCACGTTCTCCGAGCCATCCCCTCTGATCTCGCAGCTCCTAGCCGAGGCCTTGACACCAAACAAAACGTGCCCACCCTTGCAGTCTCTTTTAGCATGCCCAGCCAACTCTTGCCTCTGTGTTGGCACTCTTACATTCTGTTTGCACTGCTGTGCAAACAAGGAACTGGGGTGGGGGGTGTCTGTTTATTATCTTCCAACCTCCCATAGCTGCCTGGTGCAATTAATTCTCTCTGTGAATATCTTTGCAATTCCTCACCTCCGCTCCCTGTCTTCCACCTTCACCTTAATGCACACCTGACCTTGGACTGTGGCCTCCTCCTCCTGCCTGCCCCTCACCTCCGATTGTCTTCCACCTGATCACCAGAGACAGCTGCCTGAAATACCGACCCGTCCGGTCATCCTCCTTCCAGAGGAAACAAGAACAAATCCTAGTTTAGGGATTCTTAGCAGGGGCCTGGAGTCACACCCCTGAGGACAATTGGAAATGTATAGGGACAGATGGGGTCGTTACAGCATTGGGAGCACTGTGGGCATTTGGAGCGTGGGAACCAAGGTGTTACATGTTCTGTAGTGCCTGGTGAAATAGTTCCACAGAGGAAGTGCCCCATAATGCGGGGGGGGGGGCACCTCTTTTGAGGGACACTGGCTGTTTCCCATTGCCTAGGATAAAGTCCACTCTCTTTAGCAGGACTTAAGCCCCCTGTAATCAGGTCCAACTTTATCTTATCAGTCTCCTTATCCCCTGGCTTCCTCCCTTCCCCTCTATAGTCAGCTTCCAGATTGTCACTGTCCTTCACCAGAAGGGCCCATGTTCCTGTTGTCTGCTTTGAAATTCTGCCCAGCTGTCACCTGTGTTCACTAAAAGCAAGCAGATGTTCATCAAGCACCTTCAGAGGTCTAGAATGAGTGGAATGAAGTGATACATACAGAACAGATCATTACAAAACCACACACTGCAGAAAATATACTCAAGGTGGTGTGGGAGGTCCAAGAGTGGGCCCCACAGGCAGGAAGTAGTCAGGGGCAGCTTCCTGGAGGAGGAGCGCCTGAGCTGTAGGAAGACGATTGGTGTGGGTGATAGAAGTTGTGCAAGCAGCAGGAGCAAAGATGCTTGGCCCTCACTTGTGAGAGCTCATGCCTTAGCTTCCTTTTCCAGTCTCCACAGAAAGTGCCTGACAGGCATCGAGGGGAAAAGAGTCAGCATGCAGCGGCGGGAACAGCTGGGCTCTCCTAGGGCTCAGTAATGTGGAGAAAGCCCCAGGGGTGTGCAGGGCTCCAGAACACAGCCTTCCAGTCACTCCCCTGCACTGGAAGAGGCAGGCAGGGGGGAGAGGTGAGGTGGAACAGAGCCTCCACCGCAGGCATGTGAGATGCGGAATTACCGTCCTCCGCAGTGCACGTGCTTGTTACAAAGCAAGGCTCGTGAAAAGCTGCTCACCCCTGGGAAACCAGATCCTCCGGGGACTTGAGTATTGGCAAACAGCATCTTCACTAATGAGCCCCTGTGCCCTGCAGAGTTTCCTAGTCACGAGCACTAGAAACGAGACTTGGCACAGAAAACACAAGGCTAATTTCAGTGGCCATCTTGAATGGTATGTATCAAAAGAGACTGAAATTTGTTTTGTTTTGTTGTTTTTGGTCAGTCATGGGGTCTGAGCACTGTCCCTGACAGTGGCTAGTGCTCTGCTGCTTTGAGCCACAGCTCTACTTTCAGTTGTCCAGGCTGGCTTTGAACCACAATCCTCAGATCCCAGCCTACTGAGTAGTAGGGATTACAAGTGTGAGTCACTAGCACCCAGCTTAGACTGATTTTTTTTTCAGTATTCATTCAGTTCTGGACTTGCACCTCCTAACATTTAGCTCTTGGAAAGACAGCACAGCTGAAGGATCTGGGTGGCCTGTGGTGGTCTCATGGGGCTGAAAGAACCACGATTTATAAATGGATAACTTAGAGGGAGGGGAAATGGGTGAATATATCTAATGTCACTTTATTTTTAAATTTCAATTTACTGCTTGGAATAGGTTTTACAGTGACATAGTCAAAGTTGAGAATACATAAAAGAGCAAGTCTGTACAAGGTCTGTGCACAGAACAGAGCACAGACTGAGTATCCTTAATTCAAAATTCTGAAGTCCAAAGCACAGTGGTGGTAGCTCACACCTGTAATCAATCCTAGCTCGTCAAGAGGCTGAAATCTGAGGATGGCAGTTCAAGGCCAGCCCAGGCAGAAAAGCCCCCAGGAGACTCTTATCTCCAATGAACCACTCAAAAACTGGAAGTGGTGCTGTGGCTCAAGTGGTAGAGTGCTAGCCTTGAATACAAAGAGCCTTACGGACAGCACCCAGGCCCTGAATTCAAGCCCCACAACAACAAAACAACAACAACAACAAAAACCCTCTGAAGTCCAGATGCTGTGTAATCTGAACTTTCCTCTCTTCATCCTTTCTTTGGGTAGGTGGGGAGGACTCGTTGTACTAGGGACTGAGCTCAAGGTCTTGGAACTTGATAGGCAACAAGGTACTCTTCATTTGAGTCACGCCTCTAGCACTTTTGATATTGTTTTTCAAATAGAGTTGAGCTTTTGCCCAGGCTGGCCTCAGACCTCAGTCCTCCTATGTGAATCTCCTGAATGGCTGTGATTACAGGGATGTCTTAACAGACCCAGTCACTAAATCTGAACCTTTCTCTGTACTGACAGGATACATCTCAAAAACCTTTCAGATTTTGGACTAATTCAGATTTTTTTTTAGATTAAGAAGGCTCAACTAGTAAACTTGATGCAAATATTCCTATTAAAGAAAATAGGGCTGGGAAGGTGGCTCCGTGGTAGAGTGCTTGCCTTGCATGCTCAAGGCCCTGGGTTCGATCCCTCAGCACCACATAAGAAAAAAGGAAAAAAGCCGGAAGTGGCACTGTGGCTCAAGTGGTAGAGCGCTAGCCTTGAGCTGTAGAGCTGAGGGACAGCGCCCAGGCCCAGAGTTCAGGCCCCAGGACCGGACCCCCCCCCAAAAAAAAAAATAATAATAATAATAAACCCTCCAAAATCTGAAGCACTTCTGGTCCCAGGCATGTCACACGAGTAGTTCTCAACCTGGGTGCACTGATTAATAATGGTCACAGTAGCAGCCCAATCCTCATAGCAATTCACAGGTATACAACTGTGGTGCAGACACCTAACATCAAAGGTCTACTTTAGTCAACAGCCCCAAACTGCATCACAACAATGAAGTCACTCAGCGCATCCCTGGAAGGCTGGTGATGGGGAACCATAGTCTTTTCTGCCCGGTGCAGTTTATCCAGAGGGAGAGAGCAGCTGTGGTGAGGATCTAGGTCAAGGTCAGGTAATAACAGAATCCCACCCTGTGTTCTGCCCTCCAGAAAAAGCTCCCTCTCACAGCCCTGGCTCAGAACATGCAGGAGGCATCTGCCCAGTTAGAGGAGTCCCTGCTGGGGTAAGTAAGGTCCTGCTTCCCCAGAGGAGAGCCGAGGCCTCAAGTCTGGGAAGAGGTGGGGGGATGGTGTGGCATGGGCAGCATCGGTGTGACCGGGTACCAGACAGCGGCTGAGACACTGGGGAGAAAGCGAGACTCAGTCTCTGGATCCCAGTAGAATCTAGGCTAAAAGGAGCTGCTGACAATAGTATTTTGATAGGGTCAATGTGTATTCCCCTGAGCTTGGACATGGAGAAGTTCCATCCACACCTTTCCTGTGTCTGGTGTTGGCTCACATACATTCGTGACTCTGGCTTGTCCCTCTCAGTCCTAATTAGGAGTCACTTCCTTTCAAGATAGCCACCAATGGGCTGGGAATGTGGGTTAGTGGTAGAGTGCTTGCTCAGCATGCATGAAGTCCTGGGTTCGATTCCTCAGTACCACATAAACAGAAAAGGCTGGAAGTGGTGCTGTGGCTCAGATGGTAGAGTGCTAGCCTTGAGCAAAAGAAGCTCAGGGACAGTGCCCAGGCCCTGAGTTCAAGCCCTAGAACTGGTCAGGGAAAAAAAAAAAAGAAGATAGCCATCAAAATTCAGCAGTACTTGTTTCAATGGCTCATGCCTCTAATCCTAGCTAGTTTGGAGGATCTGAGGATCACAGTTTGAAGCCAGCTGGGCAGGACAATCCATGAGACTCTTATCTCCAATTAACCATCAAAATGCTAGACGAGGAGCTGTGGCTCAAGTGGTAGAACACTAGCCTTGAACACAATAGTTCAGGGACAGTGCCCATACCCTGAGTTCAAACCCCAGCACCTGCACCCCAAAAACAAGTGTGTGTGTGTATGTGTGTGTGTGTGTGTGTGTGTGTGTGTGTGTGTGTGTGTGTTTTCCTAGCCAGGCACTGGTGGCTCACACCTGTGACCCTAGCTACTTGGGAAGCTGAGGTTAGGGCCACCCTGGCTACATGTGAGACACCCTTGTCCCCCTTTAACCAAATACCTGGGCACAGTGGTGTATTTGTCATCCTAGTTGTGTGAAGAGGCTGAGCTTGAGAAGCTCGCAGCTCTAAGCCAGCCTGGCCGGGTAGAAAAAAGTCTGAGAGATTCCATCTTAGCTAGAAGAAGCTAGGCCTGTCATCCCAGCTGTATCAGGAAGCAAAAAAAAAAAGAGGATTGTGGTCCAGGCAGAAAGCCAGACCCTAGCTCAATGAGCACCAGTGTATTGGGGGTGGGGGGGTGGAGGCACAGCTCAAATGATAGAACTCTTACCCAGCAAGCATAAATACCACCAAAGAGCGTTACCTGGGGGTGGGAAGGAGAGTGTATTTTTCTAAATTATTTGAAATTACTTGGATTTTTGTGGTTTGTTTCTTTTGGCAGTTCAAGGGATTGAACTCTGGGCTTCAAGCTTACTGAGCAAGTGCTCTATGACTTAAGCCATGCCCCCAGTTTTAGTTTCATTTCCAGTTTTAGTTTCCAGATGATGTCTGACAGTTTTGCCTGGAAGGTGATCTTCCCACCTCCACCTCCCGAGTTAGGTGGGATTACAGGCATGGGCATGTCCTTTGGTAACAGCTTGTTTTTCAGATAGCATCTTATTAGCTTTTACTTAGGCTGGCCTGGGACCAGAATCCTCTTATCTTCTTGAGTAGCTGGGATTACAAACATGTAACACCAAACCTGACCACTGTTGTTGTTGTAACTTAAATGTATTTGTGTGTGTGTGTGTGAACATGCGCATGTGCATATGTGTACATTCTGATCTTGGGGCTTGAACTTAGGGTGTGGATGATGTCCCTGAGCTTTTTTGCTCAAGGCTAGCGCTCTATCACTTGAGTCACAGCTCTACTTCCGGATTTGGGGTCTGTAACTAGAAATAGTCTCACAGACTTTCCTGCCCAGCTTTGAACTAGGAACCTTAGATCTCAGCCTCTTGAGTGGCAGTTGTAAGCCTTTAGCACCTGAGTTGACTTAAAATTTTATGTGTGGTTTACTTTTTTAATTGACACAGAGTAAAGAGTTGTATGCATTGATAGGGTCATGTGACAATTACCGTCCTCCCGGAGCAGCTGACCAGTCTAGCCCCTCAAATACATACCCATCATTGCGATGTCGGGATCTTCCAAACTCTTCTTCCGTGCTGGCTATGTTGAAATTCCCAACTAATTGTTGTCCAGCACAGGTGTCCTGGGCTATACAGCATCCGGAGTCCTCCCTCCCATCCTCCTGTGCTGTCCCTCTGCTCCCCAGTCCCCCACAGCAGGCGGGGTGCATTGATGAAGTAATACAGAAGTCTGAGGAGATAGCAGTTCTCAGGGTGGGAGGCTCCTGCCCCAAGTCCTGTTGCTCTCTGCCCCTGTGAGAGGGGCCCTGCTTCCCAGTGGGCATGACCTTCAGCCTTCTCTGCCCATTCCCCCCACAATCCTTCCTTTGTTCCGTAAACAGAATGGTCTCCTCCCACTCGTGACCCACGCTGGCTGCTCTGGCCCTGTCCAGAGCAGGGGGCTTGTGGCCGCAGCCAGCATCCCTGTACCCTCCAGCCTGGATATGTGTCTGTAACTGCTTCTCCAGCTGCCTCAGTGAGCCTGACCAGAGTGGGGCTGTGTGCTAGCCCCATGCAGAGTACTCTGCAAGTATAGCTCACTATTGCAAACAGTGGAGGAGGTAGGTAACACGGATGCTCCCATGTTAGAGAGGAGGACATTGGCAAACAGAGGGGATAAGGCAGTTGCCTGAGACCACACAGCAAAGCCTGTACTCAAAACTCAGATCCACGATGCCACTACGGCTGCCTCACCCCATGCCACTTTCTAGAGGGACAGGGTGACAAGGAGACAAGAGAGAGAAAGCAACTGTGACAGTACAGGTTTGCGTGCATGCACGCGCGCGTGTGCACACACACATGTGTGAGGTCAGCAGCGTGTTCACAGATGTGATGTTTGCCAGCCTCCGGTGTTAGCCAGCCCCTCATCCGCACACATGCACATTAGGCCACCAGGGTCCTGGGGAAAGCTTAATTGTCTTCTGACTTGAGTCCCTAATTCTTGAGTAGGTTGTGAACACTATACCCCTCATCTCACACACACACGTGCTGGAAATAGTACTTTCCCTCCTTCCCTCCTTGGCCCACCCATCCTCTCCCCCTTCCTGTCCTCCCTGTACTGAATGCCCCTCCCTTCCTTGGATTGAACCCCAGCCTTCACTCATGCCAGGCAAGTGCTCACTGAGCCACATCCCCAGCCCAGTCTGCTTCCTTCTAAAACACAACTCACTTCCTGTTTGTTTATTTGTTTGAGAGAGGGTTTTGCTATGTGTGGAGCTCAGACTGGTCTCGAAGAGGTGATCTTTGTGGCCTGGCCTCCCCAGTTTTGGAAATATGAATGCAGCCATCTCATGCACTGGACTTTAGTGTTAAGTGCTACCCTACACATGTGTGTGTGTGTGTGTGTGTGTGTGTGTGTGTGTGTGTGTCTGTGTGAGGGGGGGGGAGTGTCCATGTACACACATGTACATTGGGTTTGAGCTCAGGATCTAGATGCTTAGCTTTTTTGCTCATGGATGGTGTTCTACCACTTAAGCCACACCTCTGCTTCTGGAGTTTGATGGACATTCCTACTTGGGCTGGCTTCAAACTTTGATCCTCAGATTCCAGTCTTCTGAGTAGCTAGGATGACAGGCATGAGGCACTGGTGCCTAGCTTGTGTTATATGTGTTTTTGGTTTTGTTTTTAGCTGATTCTGGGACTTGAACTTGGGGTTGGGCACTATCCCTGAGCTTTTGTGCTCAAGGTTAGCACTCTACAACTTGAGCCACAGCTCCACTTCTAGCTTTTTAACTGTTTAATTAGAGAGAAGAGTCTCACAGATTCTTCCTGCCTAGGCTGGCTTGCAACTGTGATCCTCAGATCTCCTGAGTAGCTAGAGTTACAGGTGTGAGCCACCAGCACCTGGCTCGTGTGTGGTTTGTAAAGGCTTTGCTGGGCAGTGCTCTGCCATGCGCAATCCGAACTGCAATGATCATTGCCTGATGTAATAGCACATGCTTGTTGTCGGTTATCTCGTTTTTGAAGGAAGATGCTGGAGACGTGTGGAGATGCGGAGAATCAGCTGGCCCTTGAGCTCTCCCAGCATGAAGTTTTTGTTGAAAAAGAGATCGTAGATCCTCTGTACGGCATTGCAGAGGTAGGTGTCTGCGCTGTGTACACAGACGAATCGACTGGCTTAGGCTGGATGGAGAATGCTTCACTTGTGCCTACGGTGATTTGAAAACATGCTTCTCAGAAATAAAAAGGAGTAAATTGAAAATTGGAATTTTTTTTTCCTCAAGAGAGAAACCATTTTAAACAAACCATGCGCTCTTTGAGGTCTTCAGCTAAAAACGCCAAAGTGCATCCCGTTCAACCCCCAGTGCACATCCCATTTAGTGTGTTCTTCTTTTCAGGTCGAGATTCCCAACATCCAGAAGCAGAGAAAGCAGCTCGCAAAACTGGTGCTGGACTGGGACTCGGTGAGAGCCAGGTAAGATAAAGCTGCAGAGACGGTGAGGAGCCATCGCCACCCACTGCTGAGCGGGTGGAGTGGAAATCGTCGCAAAGCCACACATTGCTCCTCTGGCCACAGCCTTCAGGCCACATCCTCTCCCGGTCATGGCAGTGGGGGTCTTATTAGACTACCCTGTCCTCTGCGAGCAAGGAGAACTCAAAAATAAGGAAAACTAACTGGGTGCTAGTGGCTCGTGCCAGGAATCCTGGCTACTCGGGGGGCCGAGGTCTGAAGATTGCAGGAGTTCAAAGCCAGCCTCCCAGGCAGGAAAGTACTTCCAGTTACCTTCCCAAAAGCGGAGTTACAGCTTAAGGGGTAAAATACTAGCCGTAAGCAAAAAAGCTGATGGACAGCACCCAAGTCCTGTGTTCAAGCCCCAGACCAGTGTACACACACACACACATGCACACGCGCGCGCACACACACACACACAGTTGCCCACAGTGCACAAGGACCAGTGTACACACACACACACACACACACACACAGAGTTGCCCACAGTGCACAAGGTGCTGGCTTCATCACCAGCACCGCAGACAAATGCAGAATAGTGCGTAAGTGCAGGAGCGGGGTTGTCCACCAGCCAGACTCTCCTTACCGAAACAGGAGGCCTTGCTGACCCCCTCACACCTGCCAGTCCTCACTGCAAGTCTGTGCAGCGCACGGCAAAGCAGGTATGGGTTCTGTGTGTCAGCTCCACCAATGGTACCCTTAGAAAGTGGCCCTCCACAGGGTTGGATTGAGTATCGGGGATACTGCTGGCTTAACTAACATCCGCTTTATCTGGGGGAAGAAGCAGCCCCAGGCCATCGAACGTAAAGATCCTCGTTTACGCAACATTGAGGCATTCATGCATAGCACAGTTATCAAGCAAGAGTGTGGCTTGCTGGACACCTGCTGCTTGCCAGGTATTGATCTCCAAACTCCAGATATCAGCCTATTGGGTTCTCCCACCAGACCCCGTTCTTTCGCTCCTCTATTTTTAACAGTCCCGGGCCCTGTCGGGCTTTGTGCAAAAGCCCCCAACACCAGTGGGAGAGGAAACTTCTTTCCCCACATAAGGGAGCTGCCTGCCTTTCCAGCCCACGTGACTTGCTCCACACCAGGCCTTAGAAATAATAAATGGCGAAGCTAGAATTGGGACACAGTGTCTGCTATCTCCATATCACCTGTACACACGTGACCGGAATCCTGTGTGACAGGACGGGAGTGCAGGCCACCCTGACATACATTTTTTAAATTAACATTATTTATTAGCACTGGGCATGGTGACCCACACCTGTCATCCTGCCTACTCAGGAGGCTGAAATCTGAAGCTTACAATTCCAAGCCAGCCTGGGCAGGAAAGTTGATGAGACACTCATCTCCAATGAACTACTAAAAAGCCAGAAGCAGAGCTGTGGGCTCAAGTGAAATTCAGGGACAGCACCTAGGCTAGCACCCAGAAAAAAAAAAAAAAAAAAGTTACATAATACATGTGCTCCTGTACGCTAAATATATTCATGCATGCTGCTCTGTTATACATATTACAAAGGGCCTCGGTTGTGACATCTCCGTATATGCATATAAGGTACTCCCTCCGCCCTCACTCCCTCTACCTGCTTCTTCATCTCTTTCCCTCATTCTTGAAATAGTTTTAGCAGGCTTCATTATTTTACCCTCATACATACATATAAAGCAGTTCCTCTGTACTCACCTTCCTCCCCCCTCCTCCCTGTTTCACCTGCTCCCAGCACAGCCTGTCTGTCCTTCTCTCCCCAATGGACAATTGTTTCCTCAAACAAGGAAGAACATTCGACTGGTTTAACAAGGCTGTCAGTGTCCCTCCCTGGAGCTGATTGAACAACATTACAGAGATTTATCTGCCAGGAGTTAACTCATTTCAAGTACACGTACCTCCTAGAAGACTTACAGAGTCTCCACCTGCTATTCACGGGGCTTACTCACTGAATTAACTCAAGTAGGTATTAGAGAAACTGAACAGCTGGCCGTTCTTCGTTACCTCTTCCCGCACCGCCCTGCAGGGATGTTAGGTAGGAATCCAGTATGTGCGTACACACACACATTCGTCTTTGTTCTCGCTCAGACTCCCTGCGTCATTCTGCACGGGGATCAGTGTTGGTCATCTCAGTTTCACAGGTGGGCCCTGAGCCACAGGCAGGCCAAGTTGCTAACAGGGTAACACAGCTCGTTAGGTTGAGCTGCTCTTCACACTAGAGCGTGGCTCTTCAGGGAGTGCAGCACTGGTTTGTTGCTTGGGATGACCTGCTGCTGTCTGTGCCTTTTCAGAAATGTGAAGTGGGCAGAACACAATGTAATAGGGCAGTGCAGTAAGAGGGAGTAGCATGCTAGCCTTGGTTTTGTGTTTAGCTTTCCACAGAACCAGACAGTGCCGAATACAACCAAGCTCAAAGCACTTGAAAATGAGGTCTGCATGGCTGAAACTAGTCACAAGTCACAGATGGCAGGAAGATACATCCTAGGCAGTGCGCAAGAGCAGGCGCTGGTTTCCAGAGGCACAAGGAATGTTCTAGACCAGAGCAGGGCAGCAAAGGGGTGCTTTGTTGGCAAGGATTCTGTGCCGAGCACTGCACAGCTGCTTCAGCAGCAGGGTTTGTATGAGACAGGAGATGTCTGATGGCACTCAGAGCAGATACCCACAGCACGGGAGGGTCCTGTCATGGTGGAACACTCACATCTCCTCTTAGAGGATAAACTCAAAGAGAAGCAGCCATCCTGGGTTCTGATACCTGTCATGAGCAGTATCTGTTCTGGGGAGGGGCCTACCTCCACCCCGTGCAGTTGAAGATGCATAGCCGTGTCAGACTGGCTGCCTCTTTGTTTTCGCAGGTGGAACCAAGCTCACAAGTCTTCAGGAGCCAACTTTCAGGGGCTTCCATCAAAAATAGATACCCTCAAGGAAGAGATGGACGAAGCTGGAAATAAAGTCGAGCAGTGCAAGGTATGAGACGCCTAGTCATGGCAGCGATCATCGTCTGCTGACGGGTGACTGTGTCAACCCTTCCCGTATGAAGGGTCTAGGTCTCCAGGACTTGCATCTTTGTGCGCAACGTGCCTGTACTACCTCCCTGCCATGCTAGCCCAAGGCCTCCCTTTCTGGTCTGAGTCCTCGTGAATGCCAGACTCAGCCATGTTGGCTACCATGCTGGTACAAGTCTACCTGGTTATTCCATCCCTACCTTCCATTCACGCACAACATTGTGAGTCTTTGTTTCTTTTCCTTTTATCTTTTTTTTTTTTTTTTTGAGGCAGGCTGGAGATTCAGGAAATTTACTTTCTTGTTTTGCCAGTTATTTTATAAATGTATTTATTCTTCATAACTAGCATTTCCAGATTTATCATAAATGGGATAGTCTTCACATTAACTTATGTACCTTGATGTCCAAAACAGAAAGCAATATCTATTTTAAACGCAAAAGAAGTTATATATGTGTATTTTCCAATAAATGTAAATTTTTCTGTATATGTATAAGAACAATATATGCACACACATACATACAAAAATTGAAAAAAAATACATATATACCCATTTGCCTAATCTGTCCTTCCTTAAGTTACCGAGTTTTTACGTGAATGATTTCTTTAGATATTAAAAAGAATAAAAGTAAACATTAAGTCTTCCACCATTCTCTTCCTTCTATCTAATTTCTTCTGTACTTGATAGAAAATTGCTCTTCCTAATGTCTTTAATTCCAGACACATGCCCATGTGTACCCACACATTCGATGACAGTCAAAAGAGGACATTTTTCTCCTTTTTTTTTTTTTTTTTTTTTTTGTTTAAATCAAGTGGTAATCTACTATAAGTAGTGCCCCATACATCCTCTTGCTTCCTAGCAAGGAATTGAAAAACATACTTTGGAAATGGTTCCCATGTCAAGACATAAGATGCTTATTCTTTTTGTCCTACCCTGGTATGGTGGCAGCAGTGGTTTAGTGAACATTTAATCTGTGGCTTCTTCCATCACTTTTCTGTCTGAGGCCTCACAGATCACCTCAGACCATGCTTCCATTCATCTTTCTCATGCTGTGTTTCTTCTGCTTACCCAGGATCAGCTCGCAGCAGACATGTACAACTTCATGGCCAGAGAAGGGGAGTACGGAAAATTTTTCGTTACGGTAAGTGCCGGCCCTTGAGAAAAATCTTAGCCCATTGTAAAAATCGAGTCCTTTTTAGTTTATTTGCAAACTGAGTTCATTTTTTGAGTTTTGCTCAGCCACTGTGTGTGTGTGCATCCGACGCTAACGTTACTTTTGTTTTTGAATGTGGGTCTGTTCTCAGTTATTAGAAGCACAAGCAGATTACCATAGAAAAGCATTAGCAGTCTTAGAAAAGGCCCTTCCCGAAATGCGAGCCCATCAAGGTAACGTAACCTGCGTGCTGGCTGATGCCTTTCTTGCCGCTGCCCCTCTGCCTCTCTTCTTCTCTGCATGCATTTCCTCTGGGTGGAGGCTCTCTGCCAAGCCAGGTGCTGCTCCCAGCACCCGTCCATCTTCCTTGCTGCATCCTCTAATATCTTCCAAACCCAAATTAACACACTAACGGAACACTTTGCAGTTCTTTCAAACCTTCCCTCGAAGGGATAACTCAGGGGGTGTGTAGGTCTGTCTGTCCTCCTACAAGCTTGAAAAGTTGGAGCATCCAGTCACTTTTCCAAGCCAACTGCTGGTTCTGCAGTGCTCAGTTCTGGCCCTGTGTCTCCAAGAGTGGCCATCAGTCTGGGAGGGGGGCGGGGAAGAAGTTCAGCTTTCCAGGAGAGAACTTTTGTACTTGACTCCACACATGAGTGTTGATGGAGTCATAGACCACGGCCCCCATTTTGGACTCCTTTGTCGACACAAGGCTTTTGTTCTTATCAGTACTGATATTTTACCCACCATATTCAAGCACGTTGCAGGTTCTATTCCACAAATGGATTGAACCTTCCCTTGATGTTTACCTTTAAGTGGGATGTGTACACCTATTGGTTTGCTTGTCGATTTTGTTTTGTTTGCCTCCCTAAAGCCCTTGCCTCTCCTTCTGTGAGATTTGCCATCAGTGCTCACCAGCAGAAATGAGCAGGAGGTGCTCTGTCCTCTTCAAGTCTGTCGCCTTTGCCCCTCAGTGTCTGAGGGGGAGTGGCCTCATCTGCATATAACCTGCCCGTATTCTTCTGTGTACTTTGTCATCTCTAGATTATTATACTGTAGAGTGCAGTGTAAATGCTGTGTAAATAGTAGTTCCGTTGTAGGGTTTAGAGAATAACGACAAAACAGTAAAGTTTCTCCATATTCAGGAGAGAGCAGTTTCGTTGCTGGGTATTTTCAGTCCACAGCTGGCTGAATGTGGAGAGCCAGCTGCCTTTTGCTTGCGGTGTAGACCTGACATTTGGAGTTTAAGTTCACCCTGCAGAGCCACGGGTTTGAACCGCAGAGATCAGGCCAGCCATTGAATGTAGCGACCATGTGATTGTGCCGTATGGGTGACAGTGGAAGGTAGGTTCTGTGGATGTGCATGTGCACTGGCCCCTTGAACTTCAGGAAGTCCCAACAGTTTTTAGCCTTGTGCCTGAAAGCTTTTGGATGATGGAATAAGATTCTCTGTTTTGACTGACCCTGGCCCTGAGTAATCTCAGTTGTAATGCACCTCATTACTTGGCCATTCTTCATAGGATGAGCTTCTCTTGGTTCTAAAAAACATCGTTTCCCAGTGTATAGCAATGGTGTTGAGCAGCAGACATACAGAATTGAGAACTTGGGCTTATGAGGTAGCCACTGTGTGCTGAGTGCTGCGTGGAGCAGAAAGATGGACATCAATGTTGTAGCTTTTGAGTGGCTGAAGTCTAATTGGGAAGTTCCCCATCCACCAATCAGGGAAGGATGGCTTCCCAGGCAGCTGGTTCTGTCGTTTTCCTTGAAGAAATGCAGGAGAATGGGGAGCAGGGCTGGGGATTAGGGTGAACTGTGGAAAACTGGCCTGTAGGGGGCACAGCAGGGGAGGACAGCCATCTCCTCCTGTGTAAAATATACCCCATCCTCTCCCCTCCCGTCTCCTCTTAGTCTTCTCCCTCTAGTCCTGTCTTCTGTCTTCAGAAAGACTCAACTATAATCTGACCCTGCGGTTCCCATGTCCTGGACCTTCTAATGGACGTTTGACCAGCTGCTGGCCTTTCAGTCTCCACATGTCCCAAACTCGGTGCCTTTTACTCGATCTCCTTTTCTTCTGCCAGGCTCTTAGAGACTCCTTTCTACCTTCTCTCCTGCCTCTTAATTTTTCAATCTGGCTTCCCTCTCCACTCTGCTGTTTAAAAAGGAAGTTTGAATGCCCAAACACTGGGCAATCCTGGTGTCTGGCACAGCTAGGCCGTCTCTTCCCTGGCAAAACTTTCTCCTGCTTCAGTTGATGATCATCTCTCATTTGTAGGTCTCACATTTCTACAGTTCTGCCCCCACCTCACCCCCTTTTCTGAGTTGTGTCCTCACCCCTAGGTTCCTCTCTTCCTCCCTCCCTTTACCCCTTCCCTAGACACTCCCTCTCGTCTGCAGCTGAAGCATCGGTTCTCTTGAATGCTGCCCTCCTCTTCCACTCAGTGGTCTGTGCACTCGCCCTGGCCTTCCTTCTTGGTCCCCTTGACACCACCAGGCCTGAAAGCCTGTGCTCTCTTCCCTTCCTCTCTCACATGGCCACCGGGTTCTGTTCATTCTGCCCTGTGCCTGCCTTTTCCCCCCATCCTTCCTGGCCCCTCTACTGCTGTGCTGTCATAGCCTGGTGCCCGAGCTCTGGGATAAAACTCAAGTGTCCAGACTCACCGCTTGTCGCTCTCCACCAGATGTGCTTATCTGCCTCTTAGCCTGTTGATTCTTGTCTCTCTCACTGCTGGGGCTGTGTGAACCCTGTCTCCCAAATCACCCTTGCATTGATGGTCGACACCAGAGGTCGCAAACAGCTGCCGTTCGCTACACGTTTTTTTAATTAGCTGCTGTCATTTTGAATCAAGACACTTCATGTGCCAATCCCCATTTCTGCCTTCTTTTAAATGTTTAAAAGATCTGGTGGCACTTGGGGTGTTTCCCCCCCCCCCGAGACATGTTGATCTGGCTGCTTCCGGGGGGCTCCCCAGCCTGGCCTCTGCCCCAGTCACCACTGGCCATGCAGACAACTGTTTTGTGACCCTTGTGTATACCATCGATCTGCCATGACATAGCAAACGTGTCTTGTCTTGTGGCTGTCACGTGTACATGTATGTCCTGTGTTTTCTTCATGATCCAATTGCTCTCATCCTGAAGGTGGAGTGTCCCTGTGCACTCGGTCCCTCCTGCAGTGCCAGGCACATAGTACGCTGTTCATTTGAGAAACTGGAGTCTGCCCTTTGGAATGTCTCTGGGATGGAGGTTTTCATTCCCACCCCTGCCAGCATTACATGAAGGCAGAGGGCAGCGCACTCTGTGGAGTGTTTCCAGAAAGTTCTAGGAGAGGACGGGCGTAAGCCCAGTTGGTGGGCAGGACCACCAGCTCATTTCCCTTGAGCTTCCGTATGCTTCCCACATGGCGCTGTCTCCCGATCCCACAGGCAGGCCAGACCCAGCCAGGACTTCCCATTCGAAGACCCTAGGTCCAAGTTCAAAACGTGGCTTTCTTATCTGATTGCCCCACTGTGTGTATTTCTGCCGAGCTGCCCCAGCCCCGTGGTGGAAGGGAGCGGGGTTAAATAAAATCCCACACTACTGCTTTCATCCCAGGCTGCGTTCCTGGGGAACTGACGACGCTTCATTGTGTTTTGACTCTGAATCTGTTTGGCAACAGATTGTCTCAGAGACACTGCACCTGGCCCACGTTCCCCTCGACCATCTCCAGTCCTGGGTCACAGAGGTGGGACAATGGTTCCATTTCCATGTGAGGAAGCTCTTTCTCATCCTGTCACTAGAAGGCCAGTCCCGTGCTGCCATGCATGGCTCGGCGACATGGCTTTCCATGAGGAGAGGACGCTCAGACGCACCCTGTGTTCCCACACCAGGCCGCCAGCCTACCTAACGCGTGTTGAAGGCAGGCGGCGCGGGGCCGCGCTCCCACACACGCTAGCCACAGCCGCACACGGCACAGGTGCTGGCTCCTCCCAGAGCCTCGGCTGCCAGTGTTTAGAACACCTCCTTCGGTGGTTGGTTGGGGAGAAAACAGCGTGGGGATGCGTGAGGTTGTGGGGGTGTCTTACAGGCTGTTCACTGCTCTAGATAAGTGGGCAGAGAAGCCCGCCTTCGGGACACCTCTGGAAGAGCACCTGAAGCGCAGCGGGCGTGAGATCGCGCTCCCCATAGAGGCGTGTGTCATGCTGCTCCTGGAGACGGGCATGAAGGAGGAGGTGAGGCAGCCCTTCCTCTCCCAGGGCACCATGCGCGCACCCCCCCCACACACACACACCCCATCCACCCTGTCTTTATTACATAGCCACTGTGGGCATCGTGTGGACCTACAGCTTTCAAACTTTCAAATTGAGACCCACCCTGCACACCGTACTCTTCTGTGCCTCACAGGACCGGGTGAACTCGCCTGAGTGAAGCGTGTTCCGACCTTTTGTGTTCCAGCTGATCGTTGCATGTTAAGCTGTTCATGATGTGGGACGGTGGATTTCATGATGTTGTAACAGACCAGAGCTTCCAGGAGCTCTAGGTTTTAATAACCGTTGACAGCAAGAATCTTGCACCTGTGTGATAAGATGCAATTGATGTTGGAATGCATTTATGCATTTCTTTTATAGGATCCCTACCAGAGAGCCAGGCAGGGCAGTTCTGTTCATTTCTTCTCGTTTAGATAAGTCAACATACAGAGAGGTCACACTGGCACAGAGCTCGATAGAATAATAAGTCTTTTTTTTTTTTTTCCTTTAAAAAAAACTTTAGTTTTTCTTTTTGGTCCGTTGTGGGGCTTGAACTCAGGGCCCGGGCCCTGTCCCTGAGCTCTTTTGCTCAGGGCTAGTACTGTGCCACTTGAGCCACCGCACCACTTTGGCTTTTTGAGCAGTTAATTGGAGTCCCACAGCCAGCCTGAGCTGGCTTCAAACCAGGATCCTCAGATCTCAGCCTCCTGAGTACCTAGGATTAAAGGCATGGGCCACCAGTGCCCGGCTAAAAAACTTTTTATGAAAGTTTTATGTAACATGCATACAGGAAAGTGTGTGCGGCCGGGCACCGGTGGCTCACGCCTATAATCCTAGCTACTCAGGAGGCTGAGATCTGAGAATCGCGGTTCAAAGCCAGCCCGGGCAGAAAAGACCGTGAGACTCCTATCTCCAATAAACCACTAGAAAACCGGAAGTGGCGCTGTAGCTCAAGTGGTAGAGCGCTCGCCTTGAGCTGAAGAGCTGAGGGACAGCGCCCAGGCCCAGAGTTCAAGCCCCATGACCGACAAAAAAAAAAGAAAAGTGTGTGCATTGCAGTGTGAACAGCTTTAAGGAATTACACAGGCAAAAACTCACCCATCCAACCACACCAGGTCCAGGACTGCTCCACTTGCTGATAAGTCATGGTTGATGCTTTTCATCGGGAGCCACTTCCGCTTCCCCACCGGTATTTGGCAAACTGTTGAGACATGTTGATCTTAGTAACTTGGTTGGCCGTAGTGTCGAAGACTAAAAATCGAGGGTGCTGTTAAACAGCCCACAATGCACAGGGCGTCCCCTCCCCTACCTCCCCCACTCCCTCCAGTGAAGAATTACCCAGACCGAAGTGTCAGGAGTGTCCAGGCCCTAAAACCCTGCCCACATCAATTTGCTTGAAACTCAAGTCTTTCAACTCCTGGTCCAGTGTCCCTACTCCTGCCTGTCTTGGTTGATACTTCATGTATTGTTATTTTCCTCCATTTTCTTAGTGTCATTTGGGCAGGGGTGACTAGCAGCCTGGTCTAACACATTTTTTCTTAAGATGTCAACATTTTTGTATGTGAGTGTGAGACAGATTCTCAATATGTAGCCCAGGCTGGCCTCAAACTTGGGATTTTTCTTCCTCAGCCTCCTGACTGCTAGGATTACTGGTATGAGCCATTATGGCTAGCCTTGAGATAGTAATTTTTTGAGGTGATTTTACTGTTACTACTAAGGTGTTGTACAGAGGGGTTACCATTTCATAATTCAGGTAATAAGTGCATTTCTTTTTTTGGACATTGTCACCCCTTGCTTTAGTTTTCCCCGGTTTCCCCCATCCCATCCCTGCCCACAGGACTGCATAGTTCATCTTCCACATAGTGTCTATTGGTTACCATGACTGCATTTGTTCACCCTTCCCTCTATTTCTGCGCCCAATGCTAATATTTTTTAAATCCTAAATTTAGAGAATCTATAGCAGTCAGTGTTAGAAATATAAACCTTTTGTGGAAGTTTAAAAAGGCCTTTTAAACAGAGACAGATTGAGAGCTTGCATTAAAAACAGACTTCTAGCATGGTGGCTTACCTTGTAATCCTAGCACTAGAGCAGCTGAGGCAGGATTTAGAATTTGAGACCACTTTGGGCTACACAATGAGTCCTTGTCTCAAAATAACAAAAACCAAGGTGAATGGGCTGCTTTCTGCCCAACCAGGCAATCTAGGTGAATACATAGGTCTCCCTATTTCTTGGGGCAGCCCTGTGAGGCAGGCTGGCTGGCCAGCTGGCCAGCAGGCAGACAGACAGGCTGACTGGCTGACTGTCCTCGTGGATGGAGGCGAGCTGAAGTTCCATCAGAACCCGCAGCCTCTTGGTAAGAGACTCACAACCTACACTTGACATTGATGGCTTTTCTTTGTCTTCAGGGTCTTTTCCGAATTGGAGCCGGAGCCTCCAAGTTAAAGAAGCTGAAAGCTGCTTTAGACTGTTCTACTTCTCACCTGGATGAGTTCTATTCAGACCCCCACGCCGTCGCAGGTGAGCTCTAACGAGTCCCTCAAGTCAAGCTGCTACTCGGAAAGCTGAGATGAGTGGAAAAGCTAAGGGACAGTGCTAAGGTCCTGAGTTCAAGCCTCACTACTGACAAAAAACCAAATAGCAACAACAGAAAACAAAGTCAAGCTGCCCTCAAAGTCTGAGCAAGTCCTAACTTGGGCAGATCATCTGTTAAAAAATATAGTTTTATTTGTCAAAATGAAACTCCTAATAAAATTCCCGATGCAAAGCCAGCCTATAAGACTCTCATCTCCAATAAACTACTCAGGAAAAACCCAGAAGTGGTGCTGTGGCTCAAGTGGTAGAGCGCTGGCCTTGAGCTGAAGCAAGTCAGGGACAGCTCCCAGGCCCAGAGTTCAAGCCCCAGGACTGACACACACATACCAAAAACTCCCTTTGTAATGGAGTATACACACACACACACACACACACACACCTACCTTCTTATTATCTTTATCTAAGTTTATTTCCTCCCGCTTTCCCCTTACTGAGTAAAGGTGGAGATAGCTCATAACGCCATTGTTGGAGACCTACTTCTTCCCTCTTCTCATCCCCACAGACCATGTCTGTTAAGAGAATTTAAGCATAACTTCATTCTCTAACCACTCCTCCTGCCAAAGTATGGTTTGTTCTGTATAACTCAGAAGATTGTGACTGAGATAATGTCAGTTTGCAAAAACATGCGCTCCCAAGATCTCCAGGCACCTCCATTTCATAGCCAAGGTGTTAATGGTTGCAGGTGCTTTGAAGTCCTATTTGCGGGAATTGCCTGAACCCTTGATGACTTTTCATCTCTACGAGGAATGGACACAAGTTGCAAGGTGAGTTTAAAGAACACAGCTTTAAAAGTAAAGAGACAGGATGGAGGAGGTGGAGCTGTGGCTCAAGTGGTAGAGTGCCAGCCCTGAGCAAGAAAGCTAAAGGACAGCGCCCAGGCTCCAGTTCAAGCCCCAGTACTGGCACCCAAAAGGAGGATAAAATACTGTGCCCCATTTGCAAGGCATTTTTATCCTCAGACTTTATAATTAACACGAAAATAGCACGTGTCCCAGATCTAGTTACATTGAGAATGAAAATTTCAGGTATTAATATTAGTATGGGAAGCTTCCAAGTTATGCCTTGGGTTAAACATACCTGACTTACCTGATTGAAGATGCATAATGGCACCCTCATTAATGAACTGACCCATCGCAAATCCTCTTTACGTTGAAGAAAGCCCTGTCGCTGGACAAGAGTCCTACTGCTATATGCCTGTCAGGCGGCTTGCAAATTCACCTGGACAGTAAGGGGGACATCTTTACACTGATGAAGTGTCTCGAATCCTTGCTGTGTACTAAAGGCCATACTAATCTTGACAGCTGTCACCTCCTGTAATCCTTAGTGTTGTAAGAGGCTGATGTTACTGTTCTCACTTACAGATGAGGCAATGGGGGGGCTTGGGGAGGAGTAGGGCTGAGGCCAGGGCAGTAATGGGCACCCACCCCATATCTGCCCATTCTCTGGCCCTTTCTCTCCCCACCCCACCCTGCCACCGCTCCCCCTGCCACCCCCCCCCCCCCAGGCTTAACTCTATCAAGGAAGAGTTGGTTTTGAGCAGGACAAGTCTTTCATAGAGAATTGTTGGAGTTTCTTGGTCAGCCGGCCAGTGTCATTGTTCTGACCTGCCTTCTCTCCCAGGTCCCTAAATCATTACCTCTGATGCTCCCCTCCTCTCCCCTGTCCCCATCTGCCCATCACACAGGCCGTGATTTGATGGCCCCTGAGCCATTTTTTCTTGTCACTTACACATCATCCCATATTGCTTTTCCCAGATGCCTGCAGAATCGTGCTTTGTCCCTTATAGGTGAGGTTTTTAAGTTCAGAGCCACGTTTGTAGTCTTTATTCTACCCTACGAACCCAGTTAGGGCCTAGCCTGTGACTGTGTTAAACGAACCCAACCATCACTTCTAGGTAGGCGAGTTGTAGCCTTTCTTTTATTGGGTGGTTTCCTTGTGCCTTCCTGAGCTCAATTTTTCTCTAGTTCCTGAGAGGAAATAACCTCTTAGGCATCTGTCAGTGTATTATTTCATAGTTGAGAAATGTCAGCATAGACCTCCACTGTATGGGTAACATATGGGCTGATCTCTTAACATGTAACATGTAGATATATTTTCTTTTTTTTTCTTTTTTTGCCAATCCTGGGCCTTGCCCTCAGGGCCTAGGCACTGTCCCTGAGCTTCATTTTTTTTGGGGGGGGGAAGGGGAGGCGTCCGGTTGTGGGGCCTGAACTCTGGGCTTGGGCACTGTCCCTCAGTTCTTCAGCTCAAGGCTAGCGCTCTACCACTTGAGCCACAGCGCCACTTCGGCTTTTTGCTTATGTGGTGCTGAGGAATCGAACCCAGGGCCTCATGCATGCAAGGCAAGCGCTCTGCCGCTGAGGCACCTTCCCAGCCCCATCCCTGAGCTTCTTTTGCTCAAGGCTAACACTCTTACCACTTGAGCTATGATGCCTCTTCCAGCTTTTTCTGTGTATGAGGTGCTGAGGAATCGAACCCAAGATTTCATGTATGTAAGGCAAGCACTCTACCACCAAGCCACCTTCCCAGCCCTGTAGATATATCTTCACTTCTGTTGTATAGATATCACCGGGACACCTTCTAGCACTGCCCTTTCTAGTGGGCAGAGCTGACTGCTCCACAAACCCTGCTGTGTCCCTCTTCTGCATCTCTGAACATTGGTGCCTTGAAGTTTACTTTGTGGCCAGGGCTCCACAGCAGAATGGGCCTCTGGGCCTGGAGACTTTAAGCAGCCTTGAGAGCGGGAAAGACTGACCAGAAGTCCGGGCGCCTTGAGCGTGGCAGCTGATCTGTGGCTGGGCTCTCTTTGGTATAAGGAAATCCAGGCTCCAGAAAGCATCCATTAGCATGCATGTTTTCTAGACTGAACCCTCTGTGGAGCTCTGTCTCCTTGTGCCATGTGTGTTGGACCGGGTGGTTTTGCGTGGCTCTGCCCCCGAGCTCACAAGTGGAATGGTTGAGTCTTGTTAGTTCAAGATCTTGCTCCAAGTCAAACAGTGATGTAGTTGGTATTTTACTACAAACCTGTCTGTTTCCCAAGTTTGTGCTGTCTGCCAGCTGTGGGAAATAACAACACGGGCCTCACGGTTAATATAGCATATATTTTTAGGTAGCTCTGCATCGCTTTGACTGAGATAATCAACTTAAAGAAGGAAAGGTTGTGTTGGTTCACAATTTCAAGGATGTCAGTCCATGATGACACTGGGCACAACACATTGTGGCAGGGCTAATGGGAGAGGAGGCCTTTCGGCTTCATGCCAGCTGAGAAGCAAAGAACAAAACAAGAAGGTCCAAGGTCCCAGAACTCCTCCCAGGCCATGGCCCTGACTTATTCCCAAAGGTTCCACCCGCTCAGAGATCACCTCAGGCTGAGGTCTAAGCCTTCAACACAAGGGCCAGGGGGTGACATTTCATATCCAGATTATAGCCACATATTAGTACATCTATCAGTAATAGGTGGTCTAATGAATTTTTACACATAATTTTTTTTTTTCTCAGCATACAGGATCCAGACAAAAAACTTCAAGATTTATGGAGAACATGTCAGAAGTTGCCACCACAAAACTTTGTTAACTTTAGGTATGTATGGTTGGGATTCCATAAAGTAAACCACTACATTACAGTAACTCCGGAGTGAAGAGAGGTTTAATCCTGGCAGGGAAAATATTAACTCGGGCATGTATGGCACGGCCGAAGAGGTGGAGAGTCACGTGGAGGGAGCTGCTGGCCTGGGGGTTGGTGGGGTGGGTGAACCACTTAGCCACCTTCCCAGCCCATGTGTTGGGCTGGATTTTAACTTGGTTTTACTCTATAAATTTTACTGGTGGCTTTTTAAATATAGAGTGCAAAAATCCAGAGTTTCCTATGATTCACAGATCAAAAGTATACACTGAAAAGAAAAACCTCCCTCCTACCGTCCTCCTCTCGCTACCCATTCCTCTCCCAAGCCACAGTCAGGATTAGCTTCTTGCACATCCTCTCGGCAAGAGTCAGTGCACGCCAGGAGAGGGGGGCTCAAGTATGTAATCCTAGCTGCGTGGGAGGTGGACATCTTGGGGGTGAAGATTTGAGGCCAGCCTTGGTCTAAACGTTCATGACTCCATCCTGAACAGTAAGTGGGTGTGGTGGCCCGAAGCTGTTATCCCAGCTGTGGGGGAAGCGTAGTAGCTGGGCGCGGTGGCCCTTGTCTGTCATCCCCAGCAACACAGGTATGAAACAAGACCCTACTATTTACCAACATAGAAAGGGTCTGGAGGTGTGGTTCAAGTGCTAGAGTACCTGGCAAGCTCAAGGCCCTGAGTACTAATCTCAGTACCTCAAAAAAAAAAAAGTGAACATGTGCATAAGCAACTACTTTCATATGTACATGCTACATACATGTGATTTCTCTCATCACCCACTCATCTTCTTTTCTTAACATTTTAATGTTTTTGTTTAGTGAATCTTAAGAGAATTTTTCCATATCAGTACATGATAACTTTTTTATGGTTGCATAGTACTCCACTTTAAGGATTACCTAGCATTATTTTTTTTGGGGGGGGGGATCCAGTCGTGGTGCCTGAACTCTGGGCCTGGGCGCTGTCCCTCAGCTCTTCAGCTCAAGGCTAGCGCTCTACCACTTGAGCCACAGCACCACTTCTGGCTTTTTTCTTTTTGCTTATGTGGTGCTGAGGAACTGAACCCAGGGCCTCATGCATGCAAGGCAAGTGCTCTACCACTGAGCCACCTTCCCAGCCCTACCTAGCATTATTTAAACCAGCTCCCTGTTGACAAGAGAGCTAGATTGTACTTAACTTTTTAATGTAACTGTACTTACAGATATATAAAATTATAGTTAAAGCATGTAAATTGAATATTTTCATAATTGCAGTATAAAATGTGTTGAAATACAGTTCCATTTAAGAAATGTACCTTGGTTGATTTTGTATGTTTGCTTTACTATATTTGTATTAAAAATATGTTGAGCTACTGTTGAATCCAATCTAATTTACTTAGTGGTAACAATTGGATAATGGAGGAGAAATGGATTAGAAATGTGCAGCACACAGAGGTAAAACCGTGGTGATTTCCTCCTTACAAGTTCTCATTAATCAAGTTCTCAAAACAAAAGAAAAACCTGCAAGAGCCATGGGACGCAGGTGGTAGGGGAGACCTGCAGACCGTTCATCCCTTCTGTTTCGCAGGTACCTAATCAAGTTCCTCGCGAAGCTTGCTCAGACCAGCGACGCTAATAAGATGACTCCCAGCAACATAGCCATCGTGCTGGGCCCCAACTTACTGTGGGCCAAAAACGAAGGGTGAGTGAGCGTCTCCCCTTCACGGGACACTAATGTCTTCTCTTCACCTGGTGGGATGACCCTCAGTCTAGCCTAAGTTGATTTTCTACTCGCCTGACTTTCTCAGGGCACAGCTCGGGGCTGGCCCGCACGTGGGCAAGGGGGAGGAGGCCATCAGGCAGCTGATAGGAGACACATATCTGTATCTGCCACAGATGCAATGATGAGAGACCGCCAGAGCTTGACCGACCTCTACTCCCTTCAGGGTGTGGCTGGGCCTGAAGTGAAACTGACATGCAGCTGGTTAGCAGGAAAAATGATAGACCAAGGAGCCCTCGCAGGAAAAGCAATGCTCTACGGCTGTTCAACAGCATGTAGTCAGGCGTGAGAGCGGGACCAGACAGAGGTTATGCCCAGGCAGCCACAGGTGGAAAAGAAGGGCGAGTCTAACAAGGTCATTTTTGAGTCTAACAAGGTCATTTGTCCAGGTGGTCTCCTGCCTCATCCCCCACCCCCCAGACCCTGATGATAAAAATGTTTCTCCCCCACCCAGGCGCTGGGAGGGGGCTTCTTTCTTGGGAGAGTTTATCTTCTGTTTTCAGGAAGAAAGAGGAAGGTCAGAGTGCCCTTCTTACATACGCTGTCTCTCAGGTGTCTTTTTCCTCAAAGCTGTTGCTCTGAAGAAGAAAACACTGCTGGTGGCTTGACGGCGATCTCAGTTCTCACAGCTTTCCCTGCGAAGCCGGGGCCGTCAGGCCCACCTTCGCTGAGTCCCGCGGGAGCCCTGGCGGGGACCGCAGGGCCTGTGTCCTTCCCTGCTTCCTATGACTGCTTTTTGTAGGATGATGGTCCTGTTCAGCTTCCTCTCCTCCTTGCTGAGCAGGCACTCTACCACATGAGCTGCGCCCCAGGCCTTTTTGCTGTATTTTTTTCTTTGTAGGATCTCACGTTTCTTTTTAATCATTATTATAAAGGTGACGTACAGAGGGCTTACAGTCATATAAGATAGGTAAAGAATGCACTTCTTTTTGGACAACGTTATTCCTTCCCTCCCTTTCTCATAGTTTTTGGCTCCCATCCCCACCCACAAGTTGTACCTTTCATTTTCCACATAGTGTCTAGTGAGTACCACTTCTGCATTGGTCACCGTTTGTCCCTCCATTTCTGTCTCCCCCACCCCCCGCCCACCTTACCCTCCCACTCCCAAAGATAGATAAACATATAAGCGAGACAAGAAAAAACAGAAACAACAACCAAAAAAAAAAACCTCTTGTTTCTATTTCCTAGAGTTCACTTCAATAAATATTTACTTGCATAATCAGATGCACATAGGCATGGCATCTTTGTGTTCCTCTCCTAAGAATAACTTCTTTTGGTCTCACTGTGTGTGAATGCCTAAAGTCCCGTATAATTTATCATGTCCCAGTGTATTTTAGATATAGCTTCTGCATATGAGCGAGAACATGCACAGCTTGTTTCTCAGAGCTTGGCTTACCTGTCATTTTGCTTCCTTGTTTGTTTTATTTTGCCCAGGGCCAGCCTCAGATCACAATCTTCCTGCCCTATAGACTCCCACGTGGCTGGGCTCACTGGCACTTGCCACCATGCCGGGTGTCTGGGTTGAGTTAGGGACCTTGCTTCCTTCCCAGGCTGGCCTTGAACTACCATCCCTCTGACTTCCCCCAAGTAGGTGGGATTACAGGCGTGAGCCACCTGCTGCAGTTTTCATATCAAGGTCTTTCCACTCACTCATTCACTCATGTATGTCCAATCTTGTTTTAGGAAACATATAAGATTACTCGTATAGGGGCTGGGAAGGTGGCTCAGTGGTAGAGCACTTGCCTTGCATGCTTGAGGCCCTGGGTTCGATTCCTCAGCACCACATAAGCAAAAAGAAAAAAGCCGGGAGTGGCGCTGTGGCTCAAGTGGTAGAGCGCTAGCCTTGAGCTGAAGAGCTGAGGGACAGCACCCAGGCCCAGAGTTCAGGCCTCACGACCGGAAAATAAAAATAAAAATAATTTTTAAAAAAAGAATCTCACAGACTTTTCTGCCTGGGCTGGCTTCGAATGGGATGGCTTCAAACCATGATCCTCAGATCTCAGCCTCCTGAGTAGCTAGGATGACAGGCGTGAGCCGCCTGTGCCAACTTAAGCCAGCTTTTTGACCCTCTTGACTTCCTGACATCACTGCCCTTGGTCCTGCGCAGAGGACTGGAACTTGCCCTCACTCTGCGGAGGGCAAGAGCCATAGCCAGCTGGGTAATGGTTTCCTCCTGGACTAGCACTGCTGCACTCATAGTCTAGGACCCTGTGAGCTTTGTTTGTGCATGTGAAGTCAGCTGTTTTATTGCTTAGAAATAAGCATGCTGCCCGGCTGAGGCTGCGGAGGGGAAGGAGGCGTCTGATTCCTCGAACTTGCTTTACAGAACGCTGGCTGAGATGGCAGCGGCCACCTCCGTCCACGTGGTCGCCGTGATTGAGCCCATCATCCAGCATGCTGACTGGTTCTTCCCTGGAGGTAAGGGTCGTTGCTGGTCTACTGAGGTCAGAGCCACGTGGCAAATGATAGCAAGTCCGTGTAAGGAAGACACGGTGGTGGTTACGTAATTGGCTTTGCTTTTTCGTGCTTTTCTCCAGGCTTTGTTCCTTTGCATTTGTGCTCTGACATGCTAATGTTATTATGTATTTCCATTAGTTTCACTGAAACACATTCAGACAATGCACAGTGAGTACCCACTAGGTGCTGTGTGTTTGCTAGGTCTGTAGGAGCTTTGGACCCTGGAGAAAATGAATTCTTTTTTTTTCTTTTTCTTTTTGGGGGGGGCGGTCTGGTTGTGGTCCTGAACTCTGGGCCTAGGCGCTGTCCCTCAGCTCTTCAGCTCAAGGCTAGTGCTCTACCACTTGAGCCACAGCGCCACTTCTGGCTTTTTTTTTCTGCTTATGTGGTGCTGAGGAATCGAACCCAGGGCCTCATGCATGCAAGGCAAGTACTCTACCACTGAGCTACCTTCCCAGCCCGAGAAAATGAATTCATAAGTTGTGACAGGTTAGAGACAAATGTTTGAGGAGAGATTTGATAGTCTCCCGTGTTGAGTGAATTGCCCGTGTTGAGCCACGAATTGCCTTTTAGAAGTGACTTGGGCCACGCGCCAGTGGCTCACGCCTGTAATCCTAGCTACTAAGGAAGCTGAGATCTTAGGATCATGGTTCAAAGCCAGCTTGGGGAAGGAAAATCCATGAGACTCTTATCTCCAATAAAACCACTAGAAAACCAGAAGTGGCACTGTGGCTCAAGTGATAGAGTGCTCGCCTTGAGCTGAAGAGCTGAGGAATAACACCGAGCCCAGAGTTCAAGCCCCATGACCAACCAAAAAAACAAAAAAGAAAGAAATAGAAGTGACTTGGAGCCAGGTGTCAGTGGCTCACACCTATAATCCTAGTACTAAGGAGGCTGAGAGCTGAGGATTGAGGTTCAAAGCCAGCTCAAGCAAGAACGTCCGTGAGACTCTCCAATTAACTACCAGAAAACTGGAAGTGGCGCTGTGGCTCAAGTAGCAGAGTGCTTGCCTTAAGCTCCACGGATCTTTTGGGGTGTCCTGGTAGAGTGTGTGTTAAGTCCAGGCCTCTGTACACACACACACACACACACACACACACACACACACACACACACACACACACACACACACGCGCCTTCCTCAGAGCTGCCCTAGCTCTATGGTATGAGTACACACACACACACACACACACACACACACACACACGCCTTCCTCAGAGCTGCCCTAGCTCTATGGTATGAGTACACACACACACACACACACACACACACACACACGCCTTCCTCAGAGCTGCCCTAGCTCTATGGTATGAGTACACACACACACACACACACACACACACACACACACACACGCCTTCCTCAGAGCTGCCCTAGCTCTATGGTATGAGCTCTTGACACAGGGGCTTCTCAGTTATCCCTGGCCTTTCCATCCACAAGAACCACACCTTGTTTACGCTCAGTAGAAACGTGATGAGTTTTGCCCAGGTTTCCCCTCAAGGAAACGATTCTTGCCAGATTGCCCCCCTATTGCCTTTTAATCCTTTTTTTCTTTTTTTTCCTGGTCATTTGTGAAGCTTGAACTCAGTCTGCGCGCTGTCCCTGACTGAGCCTGTTTTGCTCAAGGCTAGCGCTCTACCACTAGGGCCACAGCTCCTACTTCTGGCCTTTGGATGGTTAATTGGAGATAAGTGTCTCATCAACTTTCCTGCCTGGGCTGGCCTCTGAACCGCGATCCTCAGATCTCAGCCTCCCAAGAAGCTAGGGTTACAGGCGGGAGCCGCCCGCACCCCGCATTGCCTTTTACTCTGTTCTCTGCCATGGTCTCCATTTCTGTAGGTTTTTTGATGATTCAAACAACGAATCCATACTTCCTTGTAACCTTGTTTTCTGTGGGTTTGTTTGTTTTCTTCACAAAAGAGAAAGCAGAGGTCGGTGTGATACGTGGTCCCTTCCCTGGTCTCTGCTCCCCACTTCCCCATGACTAGCGCTGGTGCTGTGTGTGTTGAAGCTGGGGGGTTGGGGGGGAACGACAGTGTTCCCACAGACAGAAGAGCGAGGGCCCACCCTCCACCCCTGGGCTCTGGGCTCACACGTTTTTCACATCCCTTTTTTGCAGAAATAGAATTTAACGTATCGGAAGCCTTTGTACCCCTCGCCACCCCGAATTCTAATCACTCATCCCACACTGGAAATGATTTTGACTCTGGGACCCAGGAGAGAAAGCGGCCAGCCAGCATGGCAGTGATGGAAGGGGACCTGGTGAAGAAGGAGAGGTGCGTTCACTCCCAAATCCTGTGGGACATCGCTATCCGGTGCTAGCTCAGCATCCTCTCTGTCCCCCTGACTGGTAGAGTCCCAATCACTGAGGATGCTTGCTGTAGATGAGCGCAGTGTATATCTGGCCTAGACGTCTCTTGTGGCTTGTCAGCGGACACCTGCATATGGGCTGTGCCCACAGCGGAAGGTCACCACACACACGGCAAACTCACCTCACCCTATCTCCCTGGACTTCTGTCTAGGACCGTGTCCGAACACCGCACATCTTGGCGAGGTGTGTGAAATTCTGTTTAAAGGGACAAGACCTTAACGTCTTGGCTTCAAAATGAAAGGCAACCACTGAATTTGATGTTTAGTTGGAGAAACCAGTTCAGGAGGAAACAGAGGTCCTGATGAACTTTGTCTCTCCTGTTCTCTCTGGGCAGCTGGTGAGATTTGGGGGGTTTTTTTGCCTTTGGGTGCCACCTTTCCGTGTGTGTGGTGGAAGGCTACTGTAGCACTCGCCAATATTGCCAAGATGTGGGTATGCAGAAGCAGTGTGCTTCCTGACGCGTGCATGCGGTATTATTACTGCGGGTGCTCTACAGAGGAGCAAACAGCCAGTCTTTACCCATCGGAGTGAGGCATGTGAGGTACTCATTTTGATAGAGTCAAAAGTAAAGGAAAACACTTGGCTTTACTGTTCTATCATTCCAAAATTCACATTTCTTCTGTAGAAGTGTCACGTGGCTGAGCCTTCAGTAAAGACTAATTTCAAGCCAGGCACTCGTGGCTCACTCCTGTAATCCTCGCTACGCAGGAGGCTAAGATCTGAGAGTCATGGTTCAAAGCCAGCCTGGGCAGGAAAGTCTGTGAGACTGTGATCTCCAATTAGGATAACCAAACAGAGCTGTGGCTCAAATGGTACAACACTGGCCTTGATTAAAAGAGCTCAGGGACAGTGCCCAGGCCCTGAGTTCAAGCCCCATGACCAACCCAAAAAGAGAGACAGAGTCAGAGAGATTAATATTAAGCTGTGCTGGCGGCTCATGCCTGTGATCCTAGTTGCTCGGGAGGCTGAGCTATCCTGTTTGAAGCCAGCCTGGAGCAGGAAAGTCTGTGAAACTCTTAAGTCCAGTTAACCACCAAAAAGCCAGATGTGGAACTGTCAAGTGCTTGAGCCAAAGGAGCTCAGGGTCAGTGCCCAGGGCCTGAGTTCAAGCCCCAGGACTGGCACACACACATAAGTTAGCTAATTTCATATATCTTCAGCTATGAGATTTGGTGTTACAAGTCTAGCTACCATGTGGGGTCATGATTCTCAGTTACCTGCCCTCATGGTTTGTCCCTGCCACCTGAGCCGGTAAATACCAGCTTAGACAACCACGAGTCTTTTCCATTTTTGAACTAAAAAAAAAAACACCCAAGAAAGAAAAAGTTTTCTGTTCACACACAATGGTCTTAAATGAATCTTTACCCTGTCTCCAGGCCTCATCCCCTCCCTGGGGCAGCAATTTCCCAACCTTAGGCCTCTACTGGAGGAATTCTTCCCTGTACACACCCGTCTGGATTTCCAGACCATCAGGTGTGGCCACTGTACCTGTGGTCAGCCTCTTTGGCTAGGCTTCCACTGAATTTCCCACACACAGACGTGTGATGGGCATGCAGGGGCAGGGAGATGGGCTCAGGGCCGAGCTGCCGCCCGAGACGCGGCCTGCCTGCTTGCTTTCAGCTGCTCACCCCACATCGATCAAGGAGCTTGGTCAGCTCCTGGTCGTTGGCTTTGCTCGGTTTCGAAGCCAACACGGATGCTTGCTTTGTTGGTCTCAGGGCTGACCATTATGTGGTCTTTTACCACCTGCTGGGCAACTCGGTCTGCTGTTCAGTGTGAACACGTTGAGGATGAGGGGCTTCTGTCTCTGTAGCTGGCTTGCACGGTGTTGACTGTTTCTTCTTTCTGTGTAGCTTTGGTGTGAAGCTTATGGACTTCCAGGCTCACCGGCGCAGTGGCACTCTAAATAGAAAGCACATTTCCCCCGCTTTCCAGCCGCCACTCCCGCCCACAGATGGCAGCGCCGCGGCTCCCGCAGGCCAAGAGCCCTCTACCCAGAGCTCTAGGGCTGATGGCAGCTCAGGGTGTGGGACAGTCCCCTCCACTGCGGGCACACTGGAACAGGGCCCCAGCCCGGGCAACAGCAGGTAAGGAGCCCACTTCTGCTGGCAGTGGAGGCCGGACACCCTCACGCCTCACAGGCAGTGATGACCTCTGGGCAGGGCCCCTTGCCTCAAGGAACCACTCAAGGACGAACCCGACCCACGTTCATGCCTCTGGTGGGCACAGGGCAGCCCGAAGGACCCCACATTGCTTGCCTCCTTTTCTTGTTATATCACAAGCAAGCAGCATTTGTTTGCATTCCTTGCCATTCTGCTTTGGTGCTAGAAGCTGGAGGCTGAGTAGTGACTAACATTGGGGGCATCTGTGTACTGATTTGTAGCCGCCAGTGTTCACGTGTCACGTGCCTGTCATCACGCAGTGCGCCTGAATGTATGTAGCAAGCTAGTGCAGCCGTCATCCCCCTAGTGTGTCACTCATTTACTCACGCTCTGGTTCATCAGCCATACGGGTGCTCTGAGGAACTGATACATGTGCCAGGCGCCCAAGTCCCTGCCCTCAGGGCTGTCAGGCCTGCAAGGGAACTGGCACATGAGTACAAGGTAGAAAGCAAGATGACATTTCCTTCTTAAAGGAAGCTTTCTGCTGAGCTGTTGGGAGGGGCCTGTCCAATACAGCACCTTGAAGGGAACATGCCTTTGAACTTGAGATTTTAGTTCTGGTAATGTTTCTAATGTCTCAGAACTGGCAGCTGCTCTACAAGATGAGCCCACTTCTTAACCATCACTTACTGTCTATGTACTGTCCACAAAGCCCTAAATGATCATAGCTGAAGTGAAATACATGCCATAAACAAGGATGGCCTGGTTTCTATCCACACGGTGTGTGTCCCTGCACTGACTGAGATGACTGTGCCTGGGGAAACTGTTGATCTCCACTTCTGTCCAAGGTCCTTAGAGGCTGGGGGCTTGATTCAGCCGTAGCTGAACTCTTGAGTGCTCTGAACCATTTTTACTCATATCCTCTGGGTGGTTCCATATTTGGTTAAGAAAAGTTAGGACTTCACACTTAGTGAGCTCGGCATTGGCTGTGTGCTGGCTTATTCTGTACCTATGTTTGTTTTAGTTTAAGTATTTCTTCTTAGAAAAAAATAAATATAGGCAGCCAGGCTACAGGTAGCTCACCACTGTAATCCTAGCTACTAATAACAAGGCTGAGATCTAAGGATTGCAGTTTAAAGCCAGCCTGGGAAGGAAAGTCTATGAGACTCTTATCTCCAATAAACCACCAGAAAACTGGAAGTGGCGCTGTAGCTCAAGGGGTAGAGCACTAGCTTTGAGCTAAAGAGCTCGGGGACAGCGCCTAGGCCCAGAGTTCAAGCTCCACAACCACCACCACCACCAACAACAACAACAAAAAAAAAAACATAGAGGCAAATTTACATGTTTTCATTTTCTCCCGCCGTCAACTTGTTCAAAACTAAATGTCTAAAAACGATGAGCTGTCACTGCAGAAGGACAAACAGAGCATCAGCCATCCGACGGCCCTTTATTATTTTTAGACTCTCAAAATTCTGTGTACATTTCACTGAAGACTCTTGCACTGTAATGGCCCTGACAGTGTGCTGCTATCATGTGTGTACAGGAGGTTCCGTCCCAGAAGTACAGGCCTGGGTTCCTGCCCCTTCCCTGCTACGATCAGTGCTGGGGCTGGTGTCAGCATTTAGCTTCTCAGAGACCAAATCATTGGTCACAGTCAAACCCTTTATAACCTAGAGTATTAGTGGGCTGTTGACTCTGCCTTTTTTTTTGTACTATGTATAATATATATGTGTGTATATATATCCCAAAGTCTCCTTATTTTTAATATCCAGTAATATATATATCCCAAAGTCTCTTTATTTTTAATATCCAGTAAGTACAAGCAAAGCAGAACTTGTGATGTATTGTGTCACTTTGAAATGGTCTTCCACTTGACATTTGAGTGCCAGAGTAGTTGAAAGCTAGGAATCTTAAAAAATATATATATAAAAGTAAATCGAAAGGATATCGTTTTTTAAGTAAATATTAGTCATATGGGCTTAATGTGAACTATTTCAGGTTTAGATCAGCCCTTGCCTTGTTGAGACGAAAACTGCCCAATGGAATCTTGCGTTTGCACTCAGCCCTCCATGCCCCGAGTTCTAACATCCACTGATCAAAAATTGTTTTCTCTTAAATCCTGTCTGCACGGAACATCCGGATCTTTGTCCTTGTCTCTATGTCGCACACCCTGTAGCTTAGCCACATCAGACCTGCTAGCATACGCCAGCTAGAGATGACCGGAAGTCTGCAGGAGGATGGGTGCAGGACACATGCAAACCCTGCGCCACTTTCTGTTGGGCTTGGAGCACCCTGGGGTGTTGATCTCTCTGCAGAGAACCCCAGACCCACGCCACCCCTGGTGTTCAGAGGGATGGCTGCATCTTAAGGAATGTTTAGCTTTGTTAGCTGAGCTTGTCTGACCTCTAACTTGGTTTATATTCCCCCTTAGTCCTCCAAAACCCAAGGACTCTGTATCTGCAGCTGTCCCCGCACCTGGCAGAAACAGTAGTCAGATCACCACCGGCCAAAACCAGACCCAGGCGAGTGGCGGCTCCCATCAGCTGGCAGTGGGCCCACCGCACAGCGCCGCTGGCCCCAGCCCTCACACGCTGCGCCGGGGTAAGTACCCCGGTGCCCCTGGCCACTGGGGAGGGTGTGCTCTCCTGGGGCTAGCGGCTTTGGCTCCAATACTTCCATGTCTGCTCTAAAACAGCAACCAGGGAGATCAGTCCTTAAAGAGGAAAAAAAAAACAAAACATGTTAGAGAAATGACAGAAGAGCAGCAGACGTACATGAATATTCGTCCTTTATGGCTACAGAGCTCATGTTTCGCCACAAATGATCCCAGTTTCCCAGGAGTATGGTTTCAGGCCTTCATTGCGGTTGGAAACCACCGCAGCCTCTCTACCACCCAGACTTTGTGGGTCTGGGAGCCACAGTGGCCTTCAAGTCAGGGTCAGGGCTTTCTGAATTGCTCCCACAGTCTCCCCTGTGGTCCTCCACCCAGCGGCCCAGGGCACTGCTTTCAAACACAAAGAAATGGAAGCATCTCTGCATGAAACTCCCCGGTGTCCCATGCACACGGCCCACCTCAGCCCTCCCTTAGTGAACCAGGCCTCCCCTGGGCCAGGGCGCCCACACCTCACTCCCCTCAGTGCACCAGCCCCCCCTGAGCCTCCACACCCCCCCTCACCCCTAGTGTACCAGACCCCCCCGAGCCTGCGCACCCCCCCAGTGCACCAGGCCCCGCTGAGCCTCCGCACCCCACCTCACCCCCAGTGCACCAGCCCCACCCCAGCCTCCGCACCCCACCTCACCCCCAGTGCACCAGCCCCCCCTGAGTCTGCGCACCCCACCTCACCCCCAGTGCACCAGGCCCCCTGAGCCTCCCCACCTCACCTCACCCCCAGTGCACCAGCCCCACCTCAGCCTCCGCACCCCACCTCACCCCCAGTGCACCAGACCCCCCCTGAGCCTGCGCACCCCCCCAGTGCACCAGGCCCCCCCTGAGCCTGTGCACCCCACCTCACCCCCCCGTGCACCAGCCCCCCCCAGCCTCCGCACCCCACCTCATCCCCAGTGCACCAGGCCCCCCCTGAGCCTCCACACCACACCTCACCCCCAGTGCACCAGCTCTCCCCCAGCCTCCGCACCCCACCTCACCCCCAGTGTACCAGGCCCCCCCTGAGCCTGCGCACCCCCCCCCAGTGCACCAGGCCCCCCCTGAGCCTGCGCACCCCACCCTGAGTGCACCAGGCCCCCCCTGAGCCTCCACACCCCACCTCACCCCCAGTGCACCAGGCCCCCCCGAGCCTGCGCACCCCCCCAGTGCACCAGGCCCCCCCTGAGCCCCCCGCACCCCCCCAGTGCACCAGGCCCCCCCTGAGCCCCCCGCACCCCCCCAGTGCACCAGGCCCCCCCTGAGCCCCCGCACCCCCCCAGTGCACCAGGCCCCCCCTGAGCCCCCGCACCCTCCCCCCCAGTGCACCAGGCCCCCCCTGAGCCCCCGCGCACCCCCCCCCAGTGCACCAGGCCCCCCCTGAGCCTGCGCACCCCCCCCCCCAGTGCACCAGGCCCCCCCTGAGCCCCCGCACCCCCCCAGTGCACCAGGCCCCCCCTGAGCCCCCGCACACCCCCCCAGTGCACCAGGCCCCCCCTGAGCCCCCGCACCCCCCCCAGTGCACCAGGCCCCCCCTGAGCCTGCGCACCCCCCCCCCCCAGTGCACCAGGCCCCCCCTGAGCCTCTGCACCCCACCCCAGTGCACCAGGCCCCCCCTGAGCCTGCGCACCCCCACCTCACCCCGCTCACAGCACTCTGCTTCTGGTGCCCTCCATCCACCATACTTACAGTTTCTGCACCTTTTGTTGTCCTTCCAGAACATTCTGTCTTACATCTATCTTCATGGGCTGCTTCTTAGCACCAGGTCTCAGCTGACAGGCCACACTCTCCATAAGCCGCCCTGGCCCCCACTCCTCCGCCCTGCCCCTCAGTGTCTGGAGACGGGGTCCAGCGGCCTCACACTTGCGCGGACCATTGTTTCTCACCTAACACACGTGTGAGGGCTGTCCCTGCCCGCTCGGCAGGGCTGCGGGGAGCTGAGCTCCAGCCGCACCCCAGCTCGGGCGCAGGCTCAGCCACGCACCCCAGGGGGTTCACCCCACCCCAGAGCCACCAGCCTGGGGCCGGGGCTGGCGCTCCCCGCCTGACGCGTGTCCCCCCGTGTCCCCCCTTTGTGCAGCCGTGAAAAAGCCCGCCCCAGCGCCCCCCAAGCCCGGAAACCCGGCGCCCGCGCCCAGCCTCTCCCCGAAGCCGGGCCCCCGCAGCCCCTCGCCGCCGCCGCCCGCCCCGGCCGCGGCCCCCGGCCCGCGCCGCCCCTCCAGCGGCCCCGGCCCCATCCAGGCGCCCAGCCACCCGCCGCCGCAGCCCCCGACGCCGGCGGCGCCCGAGCCCACGCCGCCGCAGACGCCCACGCCGCCCAGCACGCCGCCCCTCGGGAAGCCGCCGCCCGAGCCGCAGCCGCACGCCGGGACCCTCCCGAGGCCCCGGCCGGTGCCCCGGCCGCGGAACCGGCCCAGCGTGCCGCCGCCGCCGCAGCCCCCCGGGGGCGCGCACGGGGACCCCCGCCGCCGCCGCCACCTCCTCCAAAGTCGTGACCGGTGAGTGGGGGCGCGGGGGCCAGGAGCAGCACGACGCCTTCCTAGCAAATCCCTTCCCCGCACCCCGAGGCTCACCCCTGCAACCGGCTACTCAGGAGGCCGAGATCTGAGGATCAGGGTTCGAAGCCAGCCCGGGCAAGGACAGTCCATGAGACGCTGATCTCCAGTGAACCACCAGAAAACCGGGCGTGGCGCTGGGGCTCAAGCGGTAGAGCGCCCGCCTTGAGCTGAAGAGCTGAGGGACAGCGCCCAGGCCCAGAGTGCAAGCCCCAGGACCAGCAAAAAAAAAAAGAAGTCTGGAGTGTGCAGAGCCGGCCGCTCCGGGAGGGCAGGGCCTGGGCGCACAGCGCCAGCCTCTGGCTGCACCGGAGGAGGACGAAGGTTCCCTATCCCCCCGGGGCTGGGGGTGAAGGGTAGATTTTAGTGGCTACTTCAAGGAGTGCTAGAACATGACTGTCGAATTTGATGACTTAAAACACATTTCCCTCCCAGAAACCGGACTTCACTACTTAAAGATGAGTAGACGCTGCAGTGTGGTTTAAAGTGGTCACTGGAGCCCCCCCCCCCCCCCCCCAGCCACCTCCTGGCGATCTCGGCCACCTGGTTGTACATTGTTGTAGTGGAGGCTTGCCCAGAGAAGCCACAACACACCCTGGACCCCGCCATCTTCCCAAGGGGCTTCTCAGTGGCACCTGAGCCGGTGACACCCCCCCACCCCCAACTGGTACCCCAGGAGTAGTATAGGTGAAGTTACCATTGACCAACACTTTCCCCCCCCAGGAATAGAATTCTTCTATTTTGCACTTCAAAATGGTTGATAACTATTCTTAAGACACGAGAGCATTTGTCTTGAAACCCACAAAACCACGTTGTTCTGTTTGCTTGTTTCCCCATAGATGCCCTACCTAGCGTCCCCACAGGTGGGGAAGGTTTCCAGGACTAAGGCCTAAGGTCTGTAACCTCCCTGCCCCCCTCCCCAAGCAGCTTGATCCGCAGCTCCAAATGCTCCTGCTTAGCTGCGATCCCTGTGTGTGCTTTTGACTCCGCCCCAGGATGACCTTGGCCCCAGGCTGGGCCAGTTGCAGGCCATCCATTCTGTGACTTGTGGATGCTGCTTTGTCTGGTTTCCGGAAGTGGATGTCAGAGCCGGAGGACCAGTTTCCATCAGATAACATAGTAGGGCCTTTCACAAGCGTTCTGCCTGCCTCAGTGCCTCTTACCTTGATTGATGGACTCGTCAGTGTCCAACAAAAGGACTAAGTGTAGCAAAGTGTGTCTTCTGTGTCTCGAGCTTTAAGTTTTAATTTTTGAACCTTAAGCGCAAGTTAACTGCATGGAGCTTCTTAATTGGTGTCTGAACTTGTCAGGAACCCTCCCCACCCCATGATCCTACCCTGAATTCCTTTCAATCCCTTTTGCACTCTACCATGATTAGGGTTGGCTTTCTCAAAAGACTGTGTGAGCTTTTTAAAAGGCACTCTGAGCTGGATGCCCGTGGCTCAGCCCTAGCGCACAGCACAGACAGGAAAGTCCCTGAGCCTCTTAGCTCAAATTAATCACCAAAGACCTGGAAGTGGAGCTGTGGCTCAGGTGGTAGAGTACAAGCCTTGAGTGAAAAAAGCTGAAGGACACCTCCTATGTCCTGAGTTCAAGCCCCAGAGTCAGCGTGCATTGCACGCACGTGGGCGCGTGTGCACGCACACACACACACACACACACACACACACACACACACACACACACAGGACACTCTGAGGCTCCTCCAGTTCTGCCTTCGACCTGCAGTGGGCCAGCAAAAAGCTCTCATTCTGTGTATGGTTGCTCTGTTGGAGCCATAAGCCTTTGGCGGACCATGTCACAGCCCAGACTTGGTGTTGACAGCAGGAGGAAAGAAGATCGCAGCTGAAAACACAGAGAGGCCCAGGCCTGTCTCTCCCTCCCTCCTTCCTGAGAACCCAGGAGAGTAGCAGGACAGCGGGGATGGAAATCATTTATAGTCCAGTGACTAAACCTTGATCAGGGCCGAGCCTTTCAACACTTCAGAGCCGTGACACACCGAAGTCTAAAGCCTAGGCCGTAACTTTTGTTTAGATGGAAGACTCCAAGCCAGAATCATGCCGGTCCCAGAATACTGTCAGGACCTGGAGTGTGTGTATGCCAGAGGGCTATTAGTTTGATCTGTAGCAGTAGTTATTAAATATGTGAACTTTTACTGTTAAAAATGTTTTTCCCTTTAAGTAGTAACTAATTATTGAAAAGCTAGTCTGTACTATGAATTCTCTAACACAAGAAATTCCGAAATCACCGTTATTACCTCCTTATTACAGAACTAACCTGTAAAGCCTTTAAGTCCCTGCACCTCTGTGGGAAGTTCACCAAAGGCCAGCATTTAGAACTTACAAATGCACTAGTGTTGGTCCTGTTGCTATTAACCATTAGCCCTGCAGTGTCCAGAAGAAAAGGGAAATAAGTCCCTTAGGGCAGCCCTTTATGATGACATCATATTTCACCTGGAAGGCTAGACAGATGAATTCCTGAAAACAGGTATTCACTAGAAGCCTTTAATCTTGAAGAGTCGAATCAAGCCAGCCACCCACAGTACATGCCCGCAATCCTAGTTACTCAGGAAGCTGAGTTCTGAGGATCGCAATTCAAAGCCAGCTCAGGTAGGAAAGTCTGTGAGACTTATCTCCACCAAAAAGCCACAAGTACCTCAAGTAATAGAGTGCTAGCCTTGAATGAAAACACTAAGAGACAGTACCCAGGACCCAAGCCCTAGTACTGGCTCAAAAAGAAAGAGTTATATCAAGGCTTGTTGGGATTAAGGTAAAGTCTTAGGGGAGGTGGCTGGTTCTGAGCAGTTTGGTAGCCACCTGCAGCACCATAGCTGAGCCTGAGGGAGGCTGGAGCTCTTGTGCCGTTTCGGAAAGCAGCAGTGGAAGAGTTTATGCCCTGCTGTTTTCAAAGTAGAGGTTGTAGCAAAGAATATTCTAATGGAAACGTTTTATTAAATAATTTAGATGTATGACCTGCCTTATTCAGTCAGAACTGAAATTGGAATGTTTAATGGTAAGGACAAGGCACCTGATTGGCCAAAGCGTTACTGCTACTTTGTGATCATACTCGTGCACTAATACTTGTCACTAACCCATCACCCTCACCTGCCTGCTTACATCCCAACTAATAGTGCATGCACTAAAGACTGGCTTTGCTCACGCTTGCTCACCTCTTCTCAGTACTAAGTGTGGTCACAGTGACCCCAGCACTTTTGTCCAATGGGCTTGAGTTAGAACTTCAGCTCTCTGAAGTGACAGGCGTGGGTCTGAAAACATGATGTCTAGCAACAGGAAGTGGCATTGTCAGCACCAGCTGCAGTTGATGGTAGATTGGTGGTCTAATGCACGGTACTTACTACACTTACCCTGAGGAAAATACTTCAGTAAGAGTTACACATTAGATTCCTGTGCCAACCTTTTAAACATTTACATGCCCAGACCCCGCCCTCTAGCACCCAGAGCTAGGAGGCGGCCCAAAAGTAGCAGGGCCAAGTGCCCATTTCTTGGTTCTGATACCCTCTTTGGTTTTCTTGGCTTCACTTGTTGGAAAGACAGCACTGTAGAGTTGGAGATTCTTTTCTTTTGTGTGTGTGTGCCAGTCCTCGGACTTGAACTCAGGATCTGAGCGCTGTCCCTGAGTTTCTTTTACTCAAAGCTAGGTACGCTACCACTTGAGCCACAACACCACTTCTGTCTTTTAAAGTCAGATTCTCTTTGTGTCAGGAAAGTAAAGCGGTTTTAAGAAGAAAGCATGGAGATTAAAGGGAACTTGAGAAGTAGAATAATAAAAAGTCATACTTCTACACTTGTAGAAGTAGAAGCCTATTAATAGTCCACATTTTAAAATTTTCTACTTTTATTTTTCTGAAGCCAAAGAGGCACATGATCATAATTATGTGGCCCAAACAAGTTCTAATCCTGAAGTTTTTTTTATTTATTTTAATTTACTTATTTATTTCGGTACCCATCCTAGGGCTTGAACTCAGGACCTGGGCACTGTTGCTGAGCATTTTTTTTTTGCTCAAGACTAGCACTCTCCCACTTGACCCACAACCCCACTTTGGGTTTTTGGTGGTTAAGTGGAGATAAGAATTTGACAGACTTTCGGGCTGGGAAGGTGGCTCAGTAGTAGAGTGTTTGCCTTGCATACATGAGGTCCTGGGTTCGATTCTTCAGCGCCACATTAGCAGAAAAAGCCGGCAGTGGTGCTGTGGCTCAAGTGGTAGGGCGCCAGCCTTGAGCTGAAGAGCTGAGGGACAGCCCAGAGTTCAGGCCTTAGAGCTCAGCCTCTTGAGTTGCTCAGATTACAGGTGTTGAACCGCTGGCACCTGGTTCTGAACCTGAATTTTTTTACTTCACATCCCACACCTTTTCCGTGTGGTAATGCAGTTTCTATAGCCATTTCTTTTCAGTGACTGCGTACTATTTCATCAGTCAGCTGTATTATTACTTGTAGTTGGATATTTAAGTGGCTTCCCCTTCTGTCTGCAGTTTACTCTTATGTCAAGTCAGACCTCCAGCCACACCTGAACAGAATTTCTCCTTTGACTTGAGCAATGCAAAGTCCCTTGAAGGCTAGGACAACGCTGAGCCTTGGAAAAGCACTAGTGAAGCTAAAGGAAGCTGCACCCTCAGCTGGAGGGCTCCGGCAGGGCTCCTTCATTCTGATGCCTTTAACTTTAAGGGCGTTTGCATCTGTCACTTACCCATGTTGCTGTCAGAATGATAGCCTGCCATGGCCTACCTGCACCTGTAATCCTAGCTACTCAGGAGGCTGAGATCTGAGGATCACACTTTGAAGCCAGTCATGAGACACTTATCTCCAGTTAACCATCAAAAAGCCAGAAGTAGGAGTTGTGGCTCTAGTTGTAGAGCACTAGCCTTGAGCAAATGAGTCTCAGGGACAACACCCAGGCCCTGAGTTCAAGCCCCAGGACCGGCATGCACACAGATAAGCACACAAAAAGAGGAGCAAAAGAGTTCTAGGTGGCCTTCTCCAATACCCTTTTCCTCTCTTACTATGGTAAGCCTCGCGCCCTTCTCTCCTCAGATGGGGGGAGCAATGTCTCCATCAACGACTCACCCCAGGACTTGCAGTTGGTTTACAGGACTAAAAGCTAGTGTCCAGATCAGGCTGGCACCGACCCTCCTGTGGCCCTCTCTCTACAGTGGGGCTGGGGCTCAATGGGCTGATCTCCTGGGATTTATGGGGGTGGCCATGATTGATGACACAAGGACGTGCTCAGGAGCATTAGCTGTCCCGTCACAGATTAGCCAACTCTAGAAGTGAGACCACAAATCGAGAACTTCAGGGAAGGACGAGGGCTGACCTGTGCTGGATGGGGAAGGGAAGAGCCAGTGTGTCCTCTGGAGGGGGGCGGGGGCGATAGATGTCACCTGCATGTGGACGCAGACACCAGCCGTTGCAACCCCCCCCAGTGGCTCACACGGGCCCTGGCAGCTTGCATGCCCTGCCAGGTCGCCGCAGTTCCGCGGTCTAAGACGCTGACCGCTGCCACGCGTGTTCCGTGGGATGGGGATGGTGGGAAAGGGTTGAACTCACAAACAGTTTTCTTGTTCCAGCATTGCCTTTGAGTCAGGCCACGCCTGTGCCTGAGGCCCTAAGAAGGGAGGAGTGGGAAGATGGCTGCCCCAGACCTCCAGCCATCCGACTGGCCACGGAGTTTACCAAGCGCCGGCTAAGCAGCCAGCCGTGGTCCTAAGCACTCGGGGTTTGGCCGTGAACAAGGCAGATGTGCCCTACCCCTTGCTCACTTTCCTTCTGCCAAGAGCAAATCTGGGGCACTTCTTGATTCTGTGCACACGGGCCGCCTTGGGCTGGCCTGCCAGCCCTGCTCTCCCGACGTTCCGGAAATGTCCTTCTTCACCTCAGCCCTGGGACACCTTGATGTGTCCATAAACCTAGGGATATCCTTGCATTGTGGGGCCGGTCTGCCATCCCTCAAGCAGGGACAGGAGGAGAGGGACGCCCAGGGGGAACGCAGCTCTCCCAGCTCAGAACTGCGGGCTCGGGAGCACGCATGGGACCTGGGGCAGCACAGGCATCTAAGCAGCCAAAACTTTCCAGAAGTGCACCAGAACAGCCAGCGCGGGCGAGGCGCTGGGAGGACAGAGGTAGCCGCAAAGCCAGCTCCCAGAATAGGCATGGGGTGACTGCCCCCCCCCCCCCCGCTCCCCGAGTGTGGAAGAGCATTAGGGAACCTTTCCGGTCCCTGCCATGACCAGCTCTAACTGCAAGCCTCACAGGCATTTCCCTTTTTCTCCTACGGCCAGCCTTACACTGACTTCCAAAGCTGCGTGGCTACCAGAGAAGCCAAACTTGGTGTCTGAATTAAGTCCCCTCCGCCCCACCACCACAGGCTGCACTCAGGCTCTGCCGCTCTTCACTGGGGCATCCTGTGTCCTCAGCAAATAGAACAGGGCCCAGCCTGTGGTCAGTGTTCACAAATGGGTGACTCTCAGCCATACTGGCCTCTCTAGGAAGACAGCCATGATGGATGAAGCCTGGTAGGCGGAGACTCTGTTTATAAATAAAAAACCAGCATGAGACACGAGAAAGGAAGTTGGTGTTTGGGGTTGTCGCCCAGTGGGGTAGGATGTGGCTGTGTGTCCAAATGTCAGGGAGCCTGCTTGTCATCCTGCAGTGCACAGGAGGGCTCCCCATTACCCAGCTTGGTTCAGCCCAAACTTGTGGGTGCCAAGATGGAGGTCACAGTGCTGGAACGGGGCTGGGGGGGCCGGAAGAGCCTTGGAAGAGGGCTCTTCCCAGAGGTTGCCATGAGAACACCAGAGTCCTCAGTGAGAGAGACAAGTTGGCAGATCTTTCCCCAGGGCTGCGTGGACCCACAGAAAGGAGCCGTGGGGTGCAGGAGCAGGGCGTGCTGTGTGTCTGTCATGGCGTGTGGGTGAGGACTCGCCGAGCCCCAGGCCTTGCCCCCTGCTGACACCGTGTCTCCCGTGTTTGTGTGTGTGTTTGTTTCCCGCAGACACCAATTCTAGGGTCTCCGAACCTCTTCGCCACGTCTTTCCGGAGCTGCCCTCAGAGTCAGCAAGCAGGGAGGTGCCCGGCCACATCCTGCTGGCCATAGACAACGACACAGAAAGCACAGCCCTGTGAGGGGCCGACCCCCCCCCCCGGCCTCCGCCCTCCACCCCAGGGGAGCCGCTTGCCTTCGAGACCAAACAGCGAAAAGCTTTGCAGTGCAGGAAGAGGGCCCCGGCCACACAGGAACTGGGCCTTCGCGGGGGCCCCAGGAGAGCACCGAGGCCAACACTTGAAGCTGGATGACCTGTGCTAGCGTCTTGAAGAAGTTGGCTTTCTTTCCCCCAGGACAGAAATCATGCCAAAAAAAAAAAAAAAAACCCAAAAAACAACAAAAAGGACATACAAAAAAAAAAAATATCCAAACCACAAATACCTAAAGCGGAGAGTGTTACCACTCGGAAGTGCATAGGAAGCTTTTGTCTGCGCTATTTAATGAAACATGGATTCTTCAGGCCACCTGCTTCCCCGCTACTCGGACTTCCATACTCATTGTATCTGGAGGAGCCTCCTCTCTCCTTCGGATTTGCTGCCCAATCATCTTTTGTATTAAGTACGGTCTATGTCTCCTCCTTCCAGCCCCCCACCTCCCCCCCCCCGCCCCCCCCAGCAGCCATGAGTGCTGAGGGTGACAGCTGGATCTGCCACCCTGCTGCATTCCAGAGGACTCGGGCCTTGGAGAGTGCCAGAATGTAGACAGAAATGTACTGTGCTTTTTAAAAAAAAAAAGAAAAACAACAAAAACAAAAACCAATCATGTAATTGCTACTTGATAAGGACCGAATGTTATTCTTGGTTTCATGTTTCATTTGAATTAAATATATTCTGTGGTTTATATGAAAACTTGATATTTCTTGGGGGGGGCATGTGTACAGTCACTTAAACCAAATAGAATTGGGACGGAACAGCTTAGTGGGGCTCTAGCTATAACTGTAGGAGGTTGAAAGACTAAAACTGCTGTGCCCTCACCAGTCTGGATGCCCCTTTTCTTGGCCTTCTAGGGAGACATGGACTCAGGGTGGTTAACTCGCAATGATGTGGTGCACATACCTGGCGGGCAACTCAGGAATTCCCTTCACCAGTGATGGGGAGCCTTTGTGCCCCCATCCAAGCCCTGCTTTCCCAAGACTGAAATGCCAGAGACTGACAGTCTAAATCTTTTGTCCAGCTTTCTTTCACGTGAATGGGAAAACAACCCTTTGGGCCCAGTGCAGGTGACTCACGCCTGTCATCCTAGCTACTCAGGAGGCTGAGATCTGAGGGTCACAGTTAAAGCCAGCCCAGGCAAAAAAAAAGTCCCCATTAAAGTCTTATCTCCAGTTAACCACCAGAAAACCAGAAATGCCACCTGAAATGGCTCAAAGTGGTAGAGTGCTAGTCTTAAGAAAAATTGCTTCGGGGCAGTGCTCCAGCCCTGAATTTAAGCTCCATGATCAACCCAAAGGAGGAAAAAAAAAACCACTTGGGTTCCTGCCCATGAGGATCTTATCTCCTCCAGTGAACCAGCAAAAAGCTGGAAGTATAACTGTGGCTCAGTGCTAGCCTTGAGCAAAGATGCTTAGGTACAGCGCACAGGCCCAGAGTTCGAACCCCACAACTGAAAAAGAGGAAAAAAAAAAAAAAAAAAGAAAGAAAGGAAAGAGAAAGAAAAAAAGGAAAGGAAAGGAAAGGAAGTCAGTCTTTGGAAAGTGGCGCTGTGGCTCAAGTGGTAGAGTGCTAGCCTTAAGCTGAAGAGCTCAGGGACTGTGCCCAGGCCCAGAGTTCAAGCCCCACAACCAATAAAAGAAGAAGAAAGAAAGAAAAAAAACAGTCTTTAAATGAAGGCAAGCACTGAGCTAGTAGAATAACCTTTGGTCTTGTGTGAGAGCATCACCTAAAAACTCAAAGGATTGTGAAATGATGAGGTCCTAGAATGACCAGTGGGCCCAGTAACTCCTTGCCCTCCACCCCCAGGGTTTTTCTTTTTCTTTTTTTTTTTTTTGCCAGTCCTGGGGCTTGAACTCAGGGCCTGGACACTATCTCTGAGCTGTTTTTGCTCAGGCTAGTACTCTATCACTTGACTCACAGCACCACTTCTGTCTTTTTCTGCATATGAGGTACTGAGGAATCGAACCCAGGGCTTCATGCATGCTAGGCAAGCACTCTACTACTAAGCCACCTTCCCAGCCATTTCCCCCCACACCCCCAAAACAAACAAACAAAAACAGGGTTCTGTTGTCTATTTCCCTTTGAGTTTTCTGGAAAATTGAGGTTCCCTGAAAAGACAACTCCACTTCCCAGCTGGACTGGGCTAGTAAATAGTTCCACCCATCCATGGACTTGTCCCAGGATGGGGGGGGGGGGGAATGTCTGTCCCTGGGCTTCCCCGAAGGATGCCCTTGCTCCCATCTGTGCACATAGCCCCCAGCTCTCTAACTGAGAGATGGCTGGCGCTGTGCTCTGGTTCCGGAAGAGGAGCTTTGCAGGAGACAAGCATCCTCTGGCTGCTTGTCCAGGGATCACCTTCATGGCCAGTCAAGCAACAAAGCAGAATTTCCCAAACCAGAATTTGAGAAATGCACACTATTCCCTGATTTTTGTTGTTCTTGGTGATACTGGGAATTGAACTCAAAACCTTGAGCCAGGGCAGGGAATGTGGCTTAGTGGACCAAGTATGCGTGAAGCCCTGGGTTCGATTCCTCAGTACCACATACACAGAAAAAGCCAGAAGTGGCGTGCTGTGGCTCAAGTGGTAGAGTGCTAGCCTTGAGCAAAAACAGCTCAGAGACAGTGCCCAGGCCCTGAGTTCAAGCCCCAGGACTGGCAAAAAAAAAAAAAGCCTTGAGCTAGTTATGTAGGTAGGTGCTCTACCATTTGAGCCACACCTTCAGGGCCTTTTTGCCTTTTTTTGTCACTTGTGGGGCTTGGATTCAGGGCCTGAGTGCTGTCCCTGAGCTTTTCTGTTCAAGGTTAGTGCTCTACCATTATGAGCCACCGCTCCACTTCTGGTTTTCTGGTGGTTTGTTGGAGATTAAGAGTCACAAATTTTTGAACCACGATCCTCCTATCTCAGTCTCCTGAGTAAGAAGGATTACAGGTGTGAGGCAACAGTACTTGGCTCCTTGGATATTTTCAGAGGAAGGCCTCGCTTTATTCCTGGGCTAGCCTGGCTTATGATTCCCCTTGTCTCTGGGGATGACAGGTACACACTGCTGCACCCAGCCCCTGTACTTCCCCCAGGAGCTAGGCTGACAGGTGTGCCCTACCTCAACCAAACGTAGGTTGAGATGGAATCAAACAATTGTTTTAAATTCCTGAGCCGACCTCTAATTGTGATCCTTCAGTGTCTGCCTCCCAGGTAGCCAGGATTACAAACTTGAGCCACTGTACCCAGCCCTGATTGTCTCATGGCGTGACTGTCTCCTAGACATTTATACGTGGCTTTGTTTCCAAGAAACCAGAGCTAAGTATCTCAGTGAGATGCCTTCGGTGGTCAGCTGATTGCTTTGAGAAAAGAAAAAAAAAAAAAAAGAGCAAACTCTCATGTTGAAAAATGACCCCATCCAACACACTTGAGACCCTCATAGTAAACAAACAAAAAGCTTTTTATTATTATTATTTCACTAGAAAATGACAGGGCCTTGAGAACAGAGCAAGAGCTGGAGCTGCCGGCGTCACCTTGCATTAAGCAAAGTAACCCCAGAGGAAAATGGCACAGCTGAGGCAGAGGATGCAGTTGATGTCCAGAAGGGTTTTCACAATGGGGTTCTCCTCCAAGGAAACGATGACGGCTTCTGCTTTGCTTGGGGCCTCCTCCCGGCCTTTGTCCTCCATGCCACACAGCCATAAGATGGCCTTCACCACTTTGGACCGCTTATGGATGACATCACCTGAGGATAAACCAAAGAGGAAAGGTCAGAGAGAGGAGCTTGTATCTCCCAGTGACAGAGCAAGAACCAGATGTGCCCATGCTCCAGGGTAAGTACTTCAAGGACCTCTTCCAGCAGGTAGGATCCGCTCTCTGGATCCGTAGATGCAAGCAAACCAGAATTGAAAACACTCAGAGGATCCCAGGCGCTGGTGGCTCATGCCTGTAAATCTTGGCACTCAGGAGGCTGAGATTTGAGGATCACAGTTTGAGGCTAGCCCAGGCAGGAAAGTCCATGAGACTCTTATCTCCAATTAACTCAGAAAAAAAAAGCCAGAAGTAGACGTGTGACTCAAGTGGTAGAGCACCAGCCTTGAATAAAAAGGCTTAAGGATCTGCATTCTGGCTGAGTTCAATTCCCAGTACCAGCGTGAAAAAGAGTGTGAGAGAGAGAGGAAGAGAAAGAGAGGGAAGAAAGGAAGGAAGGGAAGGAGGGAGGGAGGAAGGAAGGAAGGAAGGAAGGGAGGAAGGAAGGAAGGAAGGAAGGAAGGAAGGAAGGAAGGAAGGAAATATTCGGGAAAAGACTAGGCCTGCACTGAACATGCAGAGAATTTTTCTTGTCCCTATTTCCTAAACAATATAGTGTCAATAATCTAGAGCTGACTTAAAGTACACTGGAGGGTGTACCTGGGTTATATAATAACATGATGCCTCTGGGAACTCAAATATCCATGGGTGTTGGTATCCACATGAATCCTGGTCCCAGTCTCCTCTGATTCTAGGAAGGCTGGCATTTTCAGAAGTTCTCCATCTTCCAATGGAGACCTCCAGGCTCAGATTAACTCGACTTCTACCTCCTCTACATAAACATAGCAGAGGATTTCAGTTCAAAACCAGCCCAGAAAGGACAGTCTGTGAATCTCTGATCTCCATTTAACAACAAAAAGCTGGCAGTGGAGGTGTGGCTCAAGTCATAGAGTGCCAGCCTTAAGTAGAAAAGCTAACGGAGAGCAACCAGGTCCTGAGTTCAAGCCCCAGTACTACAAAACCACCCAACAAAACCTAGTGTCTGCAAAGTGGGAAAGGCCCAGACAGGAAACCAGAGGTGGCTAACATCCCAAGTCAGTTCCCTTTTGTGGCTTGTGATCAGATAGAAAAAAAAAAAAATCCTGCCAGGTATCAGTGCTCACGCTTGTAATCCTAGCTACGCAGGAGGCTGAGATCTGAGGATCAGGGTTGAAGGCCAGCCAGGGCAGGAAAGTCCATGAGACTCTTATCTCCAATGAACCAACAGAAAACCAGAAGTGGCACAGTGGCTCAAGTGGTAGAGCGCTAGCCTTGAGCTGAAGAGTGCAGGGACAGCGCCTAGGCCCAGAGTTCAAGCCCCACAACCTACTTAAAAAAAAAAAAAGTCCTCTTAAACATGAGCCCTTGATGCTCCTACCAAGGCCGGAGGCAACTCACCACTGTGGGCTTTAGACTTATTGTCTTGAGCCATTTCCAATTGGATGCTGGTGCTGGTGGCCTCTGGGGCTCCGTTCTGAGTCAGGGTCAGAGGCAGGATGGTTGCTGGCTGCACCTGGTCCTTCTGGACTACTGGATCATGACGTGTAAACCAGGTCAAGCGACTGACCTGAGAAGCAGAGACCAACCGTGAGGTACAGGTGTGAGGGGAAGGGAGCCTGCCTCCGGTATCCCCCGCTGGCAAGTTCCTGCCCAGCCATCAGCTCAACCCTCACCCCAGGCTGCTCGTCTACTCCTCCCTTCTGGCTTACCCTCTCTCAATCTTTCTAAGCCACCCCCTCCTTTCTCTGTCAGCCCTCATTCTTATGCTGGGACCTCCTAGGGTAAATGGGATGCAGGGATCAACTAGCCAAGGACAGAAGTAGGGTCATTGGACGCGCAGGGGTCTTAAGCTGCTTCCAGCAATAAGAACCCTAAACTTAGCTGGAAATGCTAGAAAATGTTTGTGTTTAGCCGGGTGATGGTGGCTCACTGATGTTACCCTAGCCACTTGGGAGGCTGAGATCTGAGGATCGTGGTTCTAAACCCAGCACAAACAGGAAAATTCATGAGACTCTTATCTCCAATAAACCACCAGAAAATAGGAAGTGGTGCTGTGGCTCAAAGTGGTAGAGTGCTAGCCTTGAGCAAAGATGAGCTCATGGACAGCATTCAAGCCCTGAGTTCAAGCCCCACGACTGACCAAAGAAAAACGAAACAAAAATCCTTGTGTTTTTAGTTGATGGCAATAAAGAAAATAGACTGACCTCTATTCCTAGAAGGCTTTTGGCTCCACACAGGGGCCTGAGGTTCAAAGCAGACCTACAAGCTGGAGTGTGATGACCTCTTCTCAATTCTGAATCAGCCCATCCCTAAAGCCCCACTTGGGGCTTTACAGCCTTTAGAAAGCTCAGTTCTTTCTGTTTAAACCAGTCTCAGCAAGCTGGGTGCCAGTGGCTCACACCTGTCATCCTAGCTACCAAGGAGGCTGAGATCTGATGATCCCGGTTCCAAGCTAGCCTGGGCAGGAGAGTCCATGAGACTTATCTCCAATTAACCACCAGAAAACCAGAAGTGGTGCTGTGGCTCAAGTTGTAGAGTGCTCACCTTGAGCTGAAGAGCTGAGAGACAGCACCCTGCCACCCCCCCCAAAAAAAAAAACAGTCTAAGCAGATGAATCTGTACCATCTCCTTGGAGGGCGGGTCAGTGAGCCAGCTCACGGCACACACGGTGATCAGGGTGGTGGATGAGAGGATCATGGAGAAGTAGAGGTAGTGGACATTCTTCACCACAGCTGGGCGCTCATCTGGCTGGTCACACCGAGGCTGCACGTAGATAAAGTCCAGGACCAGCCGGACCAGCCCTAGAAGCAGGCCCAGGATCAGGCCAAAGAAAGCACCCTGGAAGCCAGGGGGAAGCCACCTTAGAGACAGCAAGGACATGAGACTCCAGAAACCTCCAGGAGTCATCTTAAGAGCTTGTCTTTTTTTTTGGGGGGGGGGGGTCAGTCGTGGGGCTTCAACTCTGGGCTTGGGCGCTGTCTTTGCGCTCTTCAGCTCAAGGCGAGTGCTCTACCATTGGAATCACAGCGCCACTTCTGGTTTTCTAGTGGTTTATTGGAGAGAAGAGTCTCACAGACTTTCCTGCTTGGGCTGGCTTTGAACCGTGATCCTCAGATCTCAGCCTCCTGAGTAGCTAGGATTACAGGCCTGAGCCACTGGCACCTGGCAATAATTATTATATTTTTATTTAAATAGTTGTGCAAAGAGGTTAACCTTCAGCATGTCAATTTTTAAGTACCATGCACCCTGACTTTCTGTTGTCAGCCACTGCTGCCTCATGCTTGTAATCTTAGCTACTCAGAAGGCTGAGATCTGGCCGGGCACCAATGGCTCACACCTGTAATCCTAGCTATTCACGAGGTTGAGATCCGAGGATTGTGGTTCAAAGCCAGCCCGGGCAGGAAAGTCCTTGAGACTCTTATCTCCAATAAACCACCAGAAAACCGGAAGTGGCGCTGTGGCTCAAGTGGTAGAGCGCTAGCCTTGAGCTGAAGAGCTGAGGGACAGTGCCCAGGCCCAGAATTCAAGCCCCATGTTTGACTAAAACAAACTAAAAAACAACAAACAAAAACAAAACAGAAGGACTGGGAAGGTAGCTCAGTGGTAGAGCTCTTGACTTGCATGCTTGAGGCCCTGGGTTCGATCCCTCAGCACCACATAAGCAGAAAGAAAAAAAAAAGCCGGAAGTGGTGCTGTGGCTCAAGTGGTAGAGCACTAGCCTTGAGTTGAAGAGCTGAGGGACAGCACCCAGGCCCAGAGTCCAGGCCCCACGACTGGACCCAAAAAACAAACAAACAAACAAAAAAACAGAAGGCTGAGATCTGAGGATCCAAGTTTGAAACCAGCCCAGGTAAGAAAGTCCATGAGACCAGCAAAAAGCCAGAAATGAAGGTGAAGCACAAGTGGTAGAGTGCCAGCATTGAGTGAAAAATGAGAGCTTGAGACCTCTGAGTTCAAGCCCTACTCCTGGCACCAAAAAAAAAAAAAAAGACTACAAAACCTGAAAGTGCATCAAGGTACCTTTGAGAACCTCCACAGCATTTTGTTCCAAGGCCCCTCCCTGTGTCCCGCCCACCTGCAGATCCCTTTCCATAGCCCTCCCCACTCAGCCCTCCAGGGCAGTGATTGGTTCTTGTTTACAAGGCTACCTTTTCATTGGTCCGCTTCCAGAAGCATCCCATGATGAAGACCACAGCCACAGGTGGTTGCAGGTAGGAGCTGATGGACTGGATGTAGATGAACAGTTGGCCTCCTTGGCTGGCCTGGACCACAGGGATCCAGAGGATAGAGACCAGCACCAACACAAACACAAACACCCTGTGCAGGATGGAGAGAGAATCCAAATAGCTCTGACTTCCTTGAGGATTTACTTCTCTTCCTCTTCACACAGCTTCACTGAGTTATTCATTACATACCACAAAATCCATCCCTAAGAAGTATAATATCCATCAATGTTCACAAAATTTACACAGTTTCGCAATCATCACGAGAAGCTAGAGTTAGAGCCAGGTGCTGGTAGCCCATGCCTGTAATCCTGTAATTTAAAAGGCTGAGCTCTGAAGGTCTCAGAATTCCGCTTAGGCAGGAAAGACGGTGAGACTCTTATCTGCAATTAACTACCAAAAAAGCCAGAAGTGGAGCTTGACTGAAGTGGTAGAGCACAAAAGCTCAGGGATAGCACCCAGGCCCTGAATTCAAGCCCCAATAGCAGCACACATACACAGCGAGTGGAAGCATCCACCAAAAAAAGCTCCCTTAAGAGCTAGAGGCAACTATTAGGAGGTAGAAATAGAAGGATCACTGTTTGAATCCAACCAGGCCTACCCCCATAACCCCACCCCCCAAATCTGATTGGCTGTGTTGCTTTGCTTGGTTGTAATCCCAGCTACTCAGGAGGCCTAGGTAGGAAGAACTTGGGGTGAGGATCCAGGCCGGTGCCAGGCCAAAAGCACAAGACCTTTTCTGAAAAATAACACACACACACACACACACACACACACACACACACACACACACACACACACACACAAAGTGACTTCAGTGGGAGAAAACCTGCCTATTAAATACAAGGTCCTAAATTCAACACCAGAACCAAAACATAGCAAGAAAAATAAAATTTAAATGAGGTACTGGGGCTTGAACTCAGGGCCTGGACACTATCCCTGAGCTTTTTCACTCAAAGCTGGTGGTCTACCACTTGAGCCACAGCTCCATTTCCAGCTTTCTGCTGGTTAGTTGGAGTCTCACAGACCTACCTGCTTGGGCTAGCCTTGAACTTTGATTCTGAGCTCTCAACCTCCTGAGTTGGCATGAGCCACCGGTGCCTGCCTAAAAAAATTGTTCTTGATCTAAGGCTGAGATGCTGCCTAGGTGCCTCTTCTTGAGTGACAGAGACCTAAGGTGCTCATTTGCATATGCTTCCATAAAATGCACATGCTGCTCATTTTGGCTCCTCCCACTACGCTTCCAGATCTCAGAAGCCTTGGTGTAAAAACCTTTCTTCTAAGCCAGATGAGCTCCCTCAGTTCCAAGTCTATGTTGGGACCCCTTCTGAATCTCTAGGTCTCCTGACTCCCCAAGAAAACACTCATTATAGGTCTGGGAATGTGGTTTAGTGGTAGAGTGCTTGCCTAACATGCATGAAGCCCTGGTACCAAATAAACAGAAAAAGCCAGAAGTGGAGCTGTGGCTCAAGTGGTAGAGTGCTAGCCTTGAGCAAAAGAAGCTCAGGGGATTTGGTGCTGTGGCTCAAGTTGTATAGCAGTAGCCTTGAGCTGAAGAGGTCAGCAACAGAACCCAGGCCCAGAGTCAGTCTGACTGACTCCCGCCAAAAAAAAATAAAAAAGAAGCTCAGGGACAGTGCCCAGGCCCTCGTTAGAGCCATAATTTTCTGTTGACTCTTCTTCCTCCTCCTCTTCCTCCTCCTGCTACAGGATGGTAACAGCTACATCTTCTCACTACTCAATCCTAATACTTGGTGCACAATAGATGTTCATCAAACATCTCTTGAGCTGGACACTGGTAAGTCATGCTTATAATCCTAACTACTCAGGAGGCTGAGATCTGAGGATCATGGGTTCAAAGCCAGCCCCAGGCAGGAAAAGTCTGTAAGACTCATCTCCAGTTAACTGCCAGAAAGCTGTCCACAGAAAGCCCGAGGTCATTAGACCTCCAGAAGTAGAGCTGAGGCTCAACGTAGTAGAGCACTAGCTTTGGACAAAAGAGCTCAGGGACAGAGCCCAGGCCCTGAGTTCAAGCCCCACGAGTGAAAAAAAAAAAAGGTCCTTGAATAAATGAATGACCTCCTAATCCATGGAGTCCTGATGCTCTTCATCTCTTTCATCAGAGATAGCTGAGCCAGTCTGGATGGGCTACCAGCTGGACTTGGCCTGCATGGGGACTCAATTCTCACCTCCCTTGGACATCATTGCCCGGCCCGGAAGTCCTTACCTGCCCACAATCATCAGCTCCTTCTCAGATGCCCGAGACCGGATGTGGGTCCAGATGTCCATGGTGAAGATGGTACTGGCACTGTTAAAGATGGAGGTGAGGGAGGACATGAGAGCGGCCACCATCACAGCCATCATGAGCCCGCGGAGTCCTGGGGGCAGAAGGGAGGTCTATGGGCCTCGGGCTTTCTGTGGACAGCTTCTGCCTTCGCTCAGGGTCCTGGTGCCCAGACCCAAAGCCAGCTCTGAAGAGATGGAGGGGATGATGGGGCACAAGCCCGGACCTGACCTCTGTGTGTGTGTGTGTGTGTGTGTGTGTGTGTGTGTGTCTGTGCGCGCACGCGTGCTCACTGGTCCTAGGGCTTGAACTCAGAGCCTGGGTACTCTTTGGCCTTTTCTGCTCAAAACTAGTGTTCTACCACTTGAATCACACATCCACTTCCAGCTTTTTGGTGGGGGTAATTGCAAATTACAGTCTTACGGACTTTTCTGCCTGGGTTGGCTTCCAATCTCGATCCTCAGAGCTCAGCCTCCTGAGTAGCTGACCCTCCCATCATATCTTCATCTCAGATCAGAGGTTATCCCAGGTCCTCCTGTCTGGGGACCCCAGGGGACTCGGTGTGGGGTGTGAGGATGTTACCTGTGGGCAGGAGTTCCAGCACCAGCTTTGGGTACGCAATGTCAGAGCAGCCCGACGGATTGCTACAGACCCTCTGGCAGATGTCCGGATGTGCACACGCCACTTCATCTGCAGAGGAGACAGACTCGGGATGAAGCCGGCTCAGAACCCAGACCTGGCCACCACATTTCCCACCCAGGACACAGGTCTACTGCATGGGACCTTACAGCCCCACGAACCCAGGTACCCAGAGAGCAGACTGGGCATGTATAAAATACAAATTGTGAATGGATGTGAAATGTGTCTGTCAGTGTGTGGCACTGTGGCAAAACACTGGGTAGAGGCTACTAACAGATTTTTATTTTTATTTTTTATTTGTCAGTTGTAGGGCTTGAACTCTGGGCCTGAGCACTGTCCCTGAGCTCTTCAGTTCAAGATGAGCGCTCTACCACTTGAGCCACAGTGCCACTTCCGGCTTTTTCTGTTTATGTGGTGCTGAGGAATCAAGCCAGGGCCTCATGCATGCGAAGCAAGCACTCTACCACTGAGCCACCTTCCCAGCAGAGACTACTAATAGAGTAAATAGGTCTAGGCCAAAGCTCATAGCTCTGGAAGTCCTGGGAGTGGGGGTGAGGGGACGAAAGCCTGGGTTACTGTGGGAGCAGCGCAGCATGATCTGAGCATGGACTAGAGAGACAGACAGACAATAGAGACACACACACACAGATACAGATACAGAAAGGAGAAGAGAGGAGGCAGGACAGCAGGCGGGGAGAGGAGGACAGAACAGATCTGATGACTTGGAGAGGCCCATCCCAATGACCTAAAGACCTCCCGTGATGCCTCAGTGTGTGTGTGTGTGTGTGTGTGTGTGTGTGTACGCGTGTGCATGTTCAAGTCCTGGGGCTTGAACTTGGGGCCTTGAGCTTTTGTACTCAAGGCTAGTGCTCTACCGCTTGAGCCACAGCTCCACTTGTGGCTTTTTGTGCTTAATTGGAGATAAAAGTCTCTGGGACTTTTCCTGCCCAGGCTGGCTTCAAACCATGATCTTCAGATCTCAGCCTCTTTGAATGGCTAGGATTATAAGTGATATCATCATCTTGAGGATCACAACCTTACATACAGACCCTGGGAACACTCATCCAAATGACAGCATCTATCACTTGCCATATATAAAGAACCTGCTTTAAGCCAGGCACCAATGGCTTACTCTGCCATCGGGCTACAAAGAAGACAGACAATGGAAGGACTGTGGTCTGAGGCCAGCCCAAGCAGAGACCTGAGGCCCCTTCTGAACCAACAGCCAGACACAGTGGCATGAACTTGTCATCTCCCTAACTACACAGGAGGCTGAAGTTGGGAGGATTGTGGTTCCAGACCAGCCCGAAGAGAAAAGTCCACGGAACTCCATCTCAATGGGAAGAAGCTAGATGCGGTAGAGGATACCAATCATCTGGGCATGCAGGAAGTGAAATCTTACCTCAAAAAGAACCAGTGTGAGCTGACTCAGTAGCTCAAGCCTGGTATCCTATCTACTTGGGAGACCGAGGACAGGACGGGAGGGGATTGTGGGAAAAGGCCAAGCCAGGCAAAAAGACGTTCCCAAGACCAGTGACCAAGCGTAGTGGCACATTTCTGATACTGAGCTACCCAAGAAACACAAGTAAAATTGCAGCCCAGGCTGCACAGGCATAAAGCTCAACCCTACCTCCAAAATATCCAATGTTAAAAGGGGCTGGAGGTGTGGTACAAGTGGTAGAGTGCCCGCCTAGCAAATGCAAGGCCTTGTATTCAATTTCCAGGATTGTCAAAAATGAAAACTAACAAACAATAACAACAAAAACAGTGGGAAGCCGGGCTCCAGTGTCTTACATCTGTAATCCTACCTACTCAAAAGGCCAAGATCTGAGGATTGCAGTTCAAAGCCAGCCTAGGCAGGAAAGAAGAAAGTCCATGAGACTCTTATCTCTAATTCACTACCAGAAAACCAGAAGTAGCACTGTGGCTCAAGTGGTCAAGTGCTAGCCTCAAGCAAAAAAAGCTCAGGGACAGTGCCCAGGCCCTGAGTTCAAGCCCCAGGACTGGCAAAATTACAAACAGACAAATAAATAAATAAATGGCTGGTACAGTGGCTCACGCCTGTAATCCTAGCTACTTAGGAGGCTAAGATCTGAGGTTCGACGTTTGAAGCCAGCCAGCCTAGGCAGGAAAATTCATGAGACTCTTATGTCCAATAAACTACTCAGAAAAAGCTGGAAGTGGCACTGTGGCTCAAGTCGTGGAGTGCCAGCCTTGAGCACAAAAAGGCTCAGGGACAGCATCCAGGCTCTGAGTTCATGCCTCAGGACCAGCAAAAAGAAAAAGGAAAAAAGAAAAGTATTGCTTTGTATTATGTAAAGTATTACCACCTCTTTTTTTTTTTTTTGTCTGTCATGGGCCTGAACTCTGGGCCTGGGCACTGTCCTTCAGCTCTTCAGTTCAAGGCTATTGCTCTACCACTTGAGCCACAGCACCACTTCTGGCTTTTTTTCTTTTTGCTTATGTGGTGCTGAGGAATTGAACCCAGGGCCTCATGCATGCAAGGCAAACACTTTACCACTGAGCCACATTCCCAGCCCCTTATTACCACCTTTTTACCAGTGAGGAAATGACAGCAGTGGGAGATGACATGATGGTGGGCAGGCCTCACAGCTGGTAAGTTAGCAGAGTGAGACTTAGACCAGCGATCCTCACATACTTGTGGTTTCTCCTAGCTGTCCGCCCTCTTCCCTGGAGGCAGAGCCAGGGGGCCAGCATCTGACCGGCAGAGGTCGGCTTCCTGAGTTCAGCACCAAGGACAGCATCCCCAGTTCCTTTCCCTCCTCCCACCCCCCCAACTCCAGGGTACCAGTATCTCTCTCTCTCTCTCTCTCTCTCTCTCTCTCTCTCTCTCTCTCACACACACACACACACACACACACACCCTAAAAGCAAAGGTACTAGAAGAGTTGATATACCCTAGTGTTTGCTTTCAAAAGGAGGGGGGCCAGGCACTGGTGGCTCATGCCTGTAATCCTAGCTATTAAGCAGGCTGAGATCTGAGGATCATGGTTCAAAGCCAGCCCAGACAGGAAAGTCTGTGACATTCTTATCTCCAATAAACCACCAGAAAACTGGAAGTGGTGCTGTGGCTCAAGTGGTAGAACTCTCACCTTGAGCTGAAGAGCTGAGGGAGAGTGCTCAAGTCAGGAGTTCAAGCCCCATGACCAACCAAAAAAAAAAAACAGGAGGGGGGCATTGGTGGCTCACACTTATAATCCTAGTTAGGAGGCTGAGATCTGAGGATCATGGTTTGAAGCCAGCCCAGGCAGGAAAGTCCATGAGACTCTTAGCTCCAATTAACCATAAGAAAACCAGAAGTGATGCTATGTCTCAAGTGGTAGAGCACTAGCCTTGAGCACCAAGAGGCTCAGGGACAGGACTCAGGCCTGGAGGGGATGGGGGGAAGGGCTGGGAGTTGCATTTCCATTGGGCCCAAGTTATCAAACCACTGAGCTCAAACACGGAGGAATGAAAGAGTACATTTTTGTGCCATGGGGGTCCCAGTGAAACTATTTTGTGGTTCCCATAGGTTGTGGTATGGGACATGATATAATTAAGAACACACCCCCAGTTAGCATCGCCTAAGCTTGGCTTGTGCATGGAACTGTGTTGGGGAACAGCCTTGGAGCCTGTAGATGTCCAGATGGAGGAGACCTCTCTGCCCATCCTGAAGGTGGTAAGACCCTGGTATCCTGTCCTCTGGGTAGGCAGAGATATGTCCAGAACCCTTCACAGAGTCTGAGGCTTGCACCGACCTGCTCACCTGGAAAGAGGACCCGGCTAATCATGCCCGGGAACACCATGATGAAAAGGGGAAGGATCTTGAGGTATGCGGCCATCAGAGAGCCTCCTTTAGCGTGAGACAGGTTCTTGGCAGCCAGAGACCTCTGGACGATCACCTGAAACATGGCAAGGGGGCTGGGATGCGGCTGGGCTTGGCATCTGGGTCGCTGTGGTTGGCTCTTGGTTTGCCTGGTTACTCTGAGAATTTTTTTTTTTCTGTTCAAATTTCTTGTGTCATTACTAGGGCTTGAACTCAGGCCCTTGAGCCACAGCTCTTCTCCCTCCCTCTCTCCCTCCCCCCACCTCTCTCTCTTGCTGGTTAATTGGAGATAAGAGTCTCATGGACTTTTCTTAGAATCACAATCCTTGGATCTCAGACTCCTAAGTAGCTAGGATTACAGGCATGAGCCACCAGCACCTTCCTGAAGCATCTCTTTTCAATTCTCAGTCCCTGTAGTCTAAATGGGCAGCTGCAACTCTGTCTCCTTCCTTCTTCTTAATCCAAGGCTAGACTTAGCCAGTTGGAATTACCCACCATCTGAGTGGTACCATGGTCAGACAAGGAAAAGAAGTCCAGTCAAAGCATTCAGTGACTCTTATTTCTTGGAGAAGCCAGGCGCCAGTGGCTTGCTTCTGTAATCTGAGCTACTCCGAAAGCTGAGATCTAAGGATCGCAGTTCAAAGTCAGCCTGGGCCAGAAAGTCCATGAGACTCTCATCTCCAATTAATCAGCTGACCACTGGAAGTGGTCCTTTGGCTGAATTGGTAGAGCGCTAGCCCTGAGCAAAAGAAACACAGAGATATGCCCAAGCCCTGAGTTCAAGCCCCTAGGACTAGCAACACAAACATACAAAACATGCAGACCAACAGAGCTCTTTGTGCCCTCACTGGTTCCTTAAATCCAGGTATCGACTTTACCATCTGTAAAAATGGAACTAACTGGCAGTGATTGATTCGGAGGTATCCAGCAAGGAGGCAATAGTAATTATTGCCATTGGTGGATGAAATTAGGAGAAGCAGATCAAGTAGATCAACAAAATAGAAGGGATGCGCCTTAGAGATTGGATGCCATGACAGAGAGCTGTCAGTCAAACAGACGGGAAACGTGGATAGCATGGGAGAGGTCTCCTGGGCATCCCTCAGCCAGCTGCCCTGTACCTGATCCGTGCACCAGTACCAGAGAGAGGGGATGGACATTCCAAAGAGAATCCCAGGCCACGGCAGATCAGACGTCACTGGGTCCCGGAAGATATGGAAGGCGTCTTCTCGGGGTAGCCCACAGCTGCTATTTGCGCTGCGGTTGCTAGCCAAAGCCAAGAAATATTTCTCATTCAGGCCTTCTAGACCGCCGACCGCTGCAAAGCCTAGAATGCAGAGGGAGCCCTGAATCCTTTGTTAGGAACTCAGAGCGGCTCTCAACAAGCAAGGGGGTGGGGGGGAGGCTGGGTGGAGATGGATGAGGTCCTGTGTGGAGCTAAGCTGCTAACAGATATTGGTCCCTAGAGGATTCTTTTTTGGGGGGCGGAGGTGGGGGCTGGTCCTGAGGCTTGAGCCTGGGCACTGTCTCTGAGCTCCATTTTGCTCAAGGCTAGCACTCTACCACTTGAACCACAGTGCCACTTCCAGCTTTTTCTGTTTATGTGCTATTGAGGAATCAAACCCAGGGTTTTATGTATGCTAGGCAAGCACTCTACCCACTAAGCCACATTCCCAGCTTCCCCCAATCCCGCCCCTGACCCACTATGAGACTCTTATCTCCAATTAACCACTCAAAAACTGGAAGTGGTGGTGTGGCTCAAAGTGGTAGAGTGTTAGCCTTGGGCAAAAAGAGCTCAGGGACAGTGCCTAGGCTCTGGGTTCAAGGCCCATGATGGACAAAAAAAAAAAAAGAGCAGGGCTGGGAAGGTGGCTTGCCTTGCATGCATGAGGCCCTGGGTTCGATTCCTCAGCACCACATAAGCAAAAAGAAAAAAGTTGGAAGTGGTGCTGTGGCTCAAGTGGTAGTGCGCTAGCCTTGAGTGAAGAGCTGAGGACAGTGCCCAGACACAGAGTTCAAGCCCCTTGACCGGACCCAAAAAAAAGAAAGAAAGAAAGGAAGGAAGGAAGGAAGGAAGGAAAGAAAGAAAGAAAGACCTAAGGGACATTGCTCAGGCTCTGAGTTCAAACCCTAGTCCTGCACATACAAAAAAAAAAAAGTTTGATCAACTTGAAGATTTTATTTTGTGGTAATAGGGGAACTACGGTTATATTTTTGCTTATCAGTAGATCCATTCATTTAAAAAAAGAAAAAAAAGCCAAGCACCAGCAGCTCACCCTGTAATCCTAGCTACTCAGGAGGCTGAGATCTAAGGATCACAGTTCAAAGCCAGCCTGGGCAGGAAAGCCCATGAGACTCTTATCTCCAATTAACCACCAGAAAACCAGAAGTGGCACTGTGGCTCAAGTAGTAGAGCACTCACCTTGAACCAAAGAGCTGAAGGACAGTACCCAGACCCAGAGTTCCAGCCCCATGACTGACAAAAAAAAAAAAAAAAGACTAGGTGACATCCTTCAGAAAAGTTGAATACAGAATAACCCTGCCTTAAGCAATACACCCAAAAGGAATCCCCAAGCAGTATCCTTAAGTTTGCTCATCATAGATAGGTGGTCGCCAGTGCCTGTGGCTTTACTTACTGTAGCCCATCAAGATGAGCGAGCCTATGAGCATGATCCCGGTCTGCAAAGCATCCGTGTAGATCACCGCCGCCAGCCCACCTGGAGGAAAGCGGGGAGGGAGAAGCTCTGAGACTCAGGTATTCACCTGGGCTGCAGGGAAAACCTGAGTGGAGATTTCTTAGGGTTGATTGCTGGCCAAGATGGCCACAGGAGCTCTTCCCTGTGTGAAGGGACGCTTTGCAACTTTACTTTGCTGTTACCTTTCAGGTGGAGGTGATGTTGCTTCCTCTACCACATGGGCTGGGTGGACCCTGTGACTTGTGTGGCTGAATAAAAAAACATTCAACTTCTCACATGCAGTTCCAAGCCTATCCCTCCAGGGGGCGCTGCAGCTTTGTCTCTCTCTCTCTCTCTCTCTCTCTCTCTCTCTCTCTCTCTCTCTCTCTCTCTCTCTCTCTCTCTCTCTCTCTCTTCCCCCCCTCGCTCCCCTCCCCCCACCTCACCCCTCACTACTTTCAATCCTATGGTGCCCTGAAGATAGCAGTTTTGTTTTGCTTTTTTATTTTATGTGTGTTGCTAGTGCTGATGTGTAAATTTGGGGCCTGGGCACTGACCCTTCTTAGCTTTTTTAATTCAAGGCTGGCACTCTACCACTGGAAACACATCTCCATTTCCAACTCCTGCCCTCAAAGGATCTCCAGTCTACTGGGGGAAACAGATGGCCAAGACACATTGGCTGGCCCAACTAGCCTTCCTCCTCCACATTCTCTGGACCCACGGTTTCTGCTAGTTCCCGAACTCAGCCACAGGTCTTTGCACAGTAAAGAGCCTTTGCTTGTGTTCCCTGGCATTCCAGGGTATGTGGAACAAACACCATGTTCTTTTTATTTCTCTAGCCCCCTCTCTTTTTCCAATCTTTCTCGGGCCACAGGACTGCAGTACTGTCCAGCACCAAGCAAAGGGAACCATTCTTAACTTTGGTTTGTGCCAATGGCACCCCCTGGAGTTGAGGGCATGATCTGCAAAATGATTTGTTCACTGGGCATCAGCAACTTCCACCACTTGTTTTGGGGAGTTTTCTTCTTTTGGGGGGGGGTTTGTCTTGGCAAGGCAAAATTTATTTCTGCACAGAAGGGTACAACACTGGCAAGCAAGCACCGCCCCCCCTTACGATTCTTTAGAAAAGTAAAACAAACTTCTCATCCCTCAGACTTTTCAGTGGTCCTTTCCTCTGCCTGGAATTCCCTTCCCTTACACTAATGTATCATCTACATTTGTTTGAGACATCACTGTTGAGAGCCTTTAACTGAGTAACTGAAAACTCTGTTAGGTTATCTATATGTAATGTAACCTAATGTATATATAAATTAATGTGATATGTGTTGCACACTATAGACTATCACCTAATATCACAGTATTATATATATAACCTAATTATATATGTAGTGTGATATATATCACACAGTTGTACAGATGTACGTGTGCATATATATAAACAGATACATTTGTGCAAAGAATTATACCGAGAACTCAGAAACTGGAGCATGAAAGTCTAGATATTTAAAAATATCTGTTACTTGTTGAGTCCCTACTATGTGCTAGACACTCTTCTAGGTTATAATCCAAAGCTACCAAATCGCAGGCTCCAGAATCACAATAATTTTCCCGGTTTGCATCAGGTTTGCATCATGTGAATGCACATGCTCCTGCACTAAGCAGATCCTCAGTAAGTAGTTCTGGAATACATCCATGAGAAAAAAACATGGTACCATTGTGGTGCAGCAAAGACAAACAAACAACCCTCTCTTATCAGATAATCTTCTTCCTATAGCTTGGAGAAGTCTTGCTATCTGGGACAATGGAAAGAGTTTTGTAAAAACATGGTCTTGGCATCCCAGAGTATCAGGAGATAAACCGGGAGAAGGTGGAATGGCCCACAGACCCTGCTCACCACCTGCCCCAGATACCTCCTGCTCAGTCATACCTGCCACAGTGTATAGAGCTGTGACGGCCAATAGCCCCACTATGGCCAGGTACAGATCCAGGCGCAAAGATTGCTGAATGAAGATGGCGCCTGCATACATATCCACCTGTGGAGACATGAAATGGATGGATGGATGTGTAGGTAGATAGATGGGATGGATGGGTATGTAGGTAGGTGAGTGGATGGATGGAAGGGTGTATGGAGATGGATGAATCCATGGATGAATGGATGGATGGGCAGATAAATCAGTGGATGGGTAGACAGATGCATGAGTGGATGGACAGATAGCCAGATGGATGGATGGAAGGATGGACTGATGGATGAAGGGAGGGTGGGAGAGAGGGAGGGACAGATGAATGGACAGCTGGATAGGTGGATATATGGAGGGAGGGACAGATAGATGGATGGATGGGTAGATGGATGTGGATGGGCAAATGCACTGATGGATAGATGGACTGATGAATGGATAGATGATGGATAGACAGATGGATGGGTGGACATATGGACAGATGGATAGATGGATGCATGGATGGGTGGGTGGATGGATGCATGGATGCATGGATGAATGGATGGACAGATGGATGGACATACAGACAGATGGACAGGTGGATGGATGGATGGATGGACAGATAGATGGATGGATTGTAGATGGATGGATGGATGGATGGATGGATGGATGGATGGATGAATGGATGGGTGGATGGAGAGATGGATGGATGGATGGAAGGAAAGATAGATGGAGGGATAGATGAGTGGATATGTTGATGGATGACAGATGGATGGATGGATAGTGGGTGGGTGGATGGATGGACAGGTGGATGGGATTGATGGATCAATGGATGGATTGATGGATGGATGGGAAGATGGACAGATGGATGGACAGATGGATAGGTGGACAGACAGAGGATGGATGATGGATGGATAGATGTACAAACAGATGGACAGATGGATGGAGAGATGGATGGATGGTCACATGGATGGATGGATGTATAGATGGATGGATGGAAGGATGAATGGATGGATGGAGGAATGGTGAGACAGATAGATGGGTGGATAGACAGATGTATGAATATTTCTAGCAGCTCTCCAGAACCAAGCCCTAGCCCAGATTCTGACAAATACAGAAGACCCATATATTGTCCTTCCTGCTTCCATCTTATCCTAGATCCTAGATCAGGCGTCTCAAACTGGAGTCCTATGGACAAAGAGGTTTGAAAGTCTTGCCTTGGGCTAAGGCAATGACCTCCTCAGTGATCATCTAGCTTCTGTACAGTTCTTCCTGCATTCCTCCTCCTGTTACCAGCGTGGTCACGTCTCTCCTCCCCACATGGGTGTGCCCTCCGCCACCCTCTCTCCCTTAGCTTTTTTCTCTCAGGATTGACACTCTATCACTTGAACCCCACCTCCACTTGAACATAAGAGTCTCCTAGACATTCCCACCCAGGCTGGCTTCGAAGCACGAGCCTCAGATCTCAGCCTCCTGAGTAACTAGGATGACAGGCGTGAGCCACCAGCATCCTGCAGTGTTTGTGCACTGAGTCTGTGGTGCAGTGTTTGCAGAGTGGACTTCCTTCGGACCCCCTCTCACAGGGGACAAGCTCCACCGCACTCCTCATGGTGGCACCAGCCAGGCCTCCGCCAGGCACATGCTGAATGGAGTATGGTGTATCTGGCCTTTACCACGCTCCTGGAGATCAGCCTGATCTGAGAAAGAAGCTTGCAATCTACCCAGCAGCTGGCTGGGGGCAGGGCAGAGCGCCCTTCCCCTGCCTCCCCTTCCTTTCAATGGTCTCTGCCATGCATCTCTTCTCTCTGGACCCCTCCATCTTCCTCTAACCATCCTGAATCCACCCAAGAGCAGGTGAAGAAGAGATGCTTTGTGGGCAAAGCTCTGTAAGTTACTTCTCCCCATGCTGCAGGCAGAAGGCCGGGCCGGGTCCCTGCCTTACCGAGATCTTGGTGAAGATGTAGATGAACAGATAGAGTACAGCCAGGGCGATGGAGATCCGGCAGCCGCCGAAGCGTCTCTGTAGGTACTCCGGCATCGTTGTCACCTAGTGGCAGAAGGGAGGTGACGTCACCCAGGTGGGCTGTGGACACGTGACCCCTGCAGCCCCCACCTCCTCCTCCCCAAACTTGGATTAGCTTCAGGAAAAAAGGAGGAGAAAGCTGGGCGCTGGTGGCTCACACCTGAAATCCTAGCTACTCAGGAGGCTGAGATCTGAGGATCAGGGTTCAAAGCCAGCCCAGGTGGGAAAAACCTGTGAGACCCTTATCTCCAATGAACCGCTAAAACAGAAGCAGAGATGTGGCTTAAGTGGTAGAGCACCAGCCTCGAATGGTAAAGTTCAGGCCCTGAGTTCAAGCCCCAGGACAGGCATAGATACACGCAAGAAAGTCTTGCAAGTTGGCTCTTCCTCAGCTCCCCCTAGGGTAGGGAGCTGGCTGAAGCTGTTCAGAATGAGGTTCCGGGGCTGGGAAGGTGGCTCAGTGGCAGAGCGCTTGCCTTGCATGCCTAAGGCCCTGGGTTCGATTGCTCAGCACCACATACACAAAAGAAAAAAGCCAGAAGTGGTGCTGTGGCTCAAGTGGTAGAGCGCTAGTTTTGAGCTGAAGAGCTGAGGGACAGCGCTCAGGCCCAGAGTTCAGGCCCCACGACCGGATCCAAAAAAAAAAAAAAACAACAGAACGAGGTTCCCTGAATCTCACCTGTGCTCCATCCCTCCCCTGAGCTGGGACCTGTCAGTGCCCTCTGCTGGATGTTCCCGGGCAGAAGAGAGGGCTGGCCCTTCATGTCAGAGCACCCTGGTCCTCAGGCTTACCTGGCCAGCGATGTAGATAGGGAGGAATATCCAGGCCAGCATCAGCACAGAAAATAAGCCCTGCCAGGGAAAAGATAGAACTGAGTCTCCCATTTGGACTTCCCTGTAGCACCCTGAGACAACCTGACCTGAAGTCCACCGGCTTTAGTTCCTTACTTGCTGCGAGGCTCATTATCCCTGGCCTTTCCGGTTTGGTTTTGTTTTTAAACGTGAGAAGAAGAGACCGTAAGTGTGGCAGATTATACCTACGGTACTAATCGGGAAGCTCTGAGCTCACTTACTCTCAGAGTTCAAGGCTACACTGGGCAACATAGTAAGAGACTTCTATGTGTGCCTAGCCTCATGTAGACATGAGGCCCAGAGAGGTCCAAGGATGTGTCCATTATGTGTATGTTGGTGATGGGAACCCAGGCTCTGTGGCTCAGGTCTATACTTGGATCCCCTGACGTGAGTGTCTAACATACTTAAGTCTCAACCCAGCATCCCTGTGAGTCGTATGAAGGTGAGGACTATAACCCACAGGAATTCCCTTCCAGACAGGCCCCTGCTAGGTCCTTTCCCTCATGCACCCCAGGGGAGCCGAAAGGCTGGTCTTCACTGAGTCACTTCATCTTGTAGATGGTCAATAGCTGTCCAAGTGTACAGATGCCGGATACCTATGAAGCATGCCTGTAATCCCAGCTACTCGGGAGGCCGAGATCTGAATGAAGATTTTCATTCAAAGTCAGCCCCGGCAGGAAAACGTCCATGAGACTCTTATCTGCAATCAATTAACTAACAGAAAGCCAAAAGTGGAACTGTGGCTCAAATGGTAGAGCGACAGCCTTAAGTGAAAAAGCTGAGCAACAGTGTGAAGCCCAGAGTCAAGTCCTGTTACCAGCACCAAAAGCCTTACGTTCACTTTTATAAAAGGTGCCCTTGGCTGGGGGCTGGCAGCATGCATCTGTAATCCCAGCTCCTCAGGAGGCTGAGATCTGAGGATCATGACTCAAAGCCAGTCCGATGTGAAAGTCTGTAAGACTCTTCCCTTCTCCCCGAGTCCTGGGGCTTAAACTCAGGGCCTGGGCACTGTTCCTGAGCTGCTTTGGCTCACAGCTAGCACTCTACCACTTGAGCCACAGCACCACTTCTGGCTTTTTCTGTTTATATAGTACTGAGGAATGGAACCCAGGGCTTCATGCGTGCTAGGCAAGCACTCTACCACTAAGCCACCTTCTTAGCCCTGTGAGACTCTATCTCCAATAAACTACCAAAAAAGCCAGAAGTGGAGCTGGGGCTCAAGTGGTAGAGTGCTAGCCTTGAGCACAGAAGCTCAAGGACAGTGCCCAGGCCCTGAGTTCAAGCCCCAGGACTGGCACCAAAAATGAAAACAAAAAGAAAAAGAAAAAAAAGTGCCTCCATGTATTGAAAGTGTAGGCCATTCACAGACCTTCCCCTACTCTTGGACAGAGGCTATGAAAGGTTGGCTCATACCTGTAATCCTAGCTACTCAGGAGACTGGGATATGAGGATCTTCATTGAAAGCCACCCCAGGAAAGACAAACCTGAAAGACCTTTATTTTAGGTCTGTCCTGAGGCTTGAACTCAGGGCCTAGACCCTCTCCCAGAGTTTTTTGCTCAAAGCTAGCACTCTACTACTTCAAGCCACAGTGACACTTCAGGTTTGAGGGTGGTTAATTGGAGAGAAAAATCTTACAGACTTTCCTGTCCAGGTTGGCTTTGAACCACGATCCTCAGATCTCAGCTGCCTGGGTAGCTAAGATGACAGGTGTGAACCACAAAACCAGCGCCTGGCTGATTCTTTTTTTTTTTTTTTGGTCAGTCATGGGGCTTGAACTCTGGGCTTGGACACTGTCCCTGCGTTCTTCAGCTCAAGGCAAGTGCTCTACCGCTTGAGCCACAGTGCCACTTCCAGTTTTCTAGTGGCTTACTGGAATTAAGAGTCTCACGGACTTTCCTGACCAGACTGGCTTTGAACTGTGATCTTCAGATCTCAGTCTCCTGAGTAGCTAGGATTACAGGCGTGAGCCACTGGTGCCCGGCTTCTGAGAGATTCTTAACTCTAGTTTTTTAGCAAAATATCCAGAAATAGAGGGATGGCTCAAAAGGTAAAGAACCAGCCCTGCCAGGTGCTGGTGGCTCATGCCTTTCATCCTAGCTACTCAGGAGGCTGAGATCTTAGGATCACAGTTCAAAGCCAGCCCAGTCAGGAAAGTCCATGAGACTCTTATCTCCAATGAACCACCAGAAAACCAGAAGAGGTGCTGTGGCTCAAGTGGTAGAACGGTTGCCTTGAGCTGAAGAGCTCAGAGACAGCACCCAGGTCCAGAGTTCAAGCCCCACGATGGACAAAAAAAAAAAAGAACCAGCCTTGAGTAAAATAGCTAAGTGAGAATGCAAGGCCATGAGTTCAAGCCCCAGTACAGGCCACAAAACACACATACCACCAGATGGAGGTGACATGTTTGTGTCTGGGGTAAAATACTTACGTTAAGCTCATAAGCAGTGACAGAAATGCCCACAGCAGCTCCTGAGCCTGCCAGACCAATGAAGTGTCCGCTTCCAACATTGCTGGCAAACAAGGATGCGCCCACCTGTGGGAAGATGGAGGGGTCAGATCACGGAGGTCTGGTATACCTAGTTCCACACCCCAAGTCTTTCCAGAGGAATCCAGATGGATAGAGAAAGAAAGCAAAACTATTCTGCCCTGTCTGTATGCAACATTTCTGGGGTAAAGGCTCATAGGGGCTACAGAAAATCCTTCATGAAGCCAGGCATGGTGGCTCATACCTGTAATCCTAGCTACTCAGGAAACTGGATCTGAGGATCGTGGTTCAAAGCTAACCTGGGCAGGAAAGTTCACAGGACTCTCTCTCTCTTTTTTTGGGGGGGGGAGTCTGGTCGTGGGGCCTGAACTCTGGGCCTGGGTGCTGTCCCTCAGCTCTTCAGTTCAAGGCTAGCGCTCTACCACTTGAGCCACAACGCCACTTCTGGCTTTTTTCTTTTTGCTTATGTGGTGCTGAAGAATCGAATCCAGGGTCTCATGCATGCAAGGCAAGCACTCTACCACTGAGCCACCTTCCCAGCCCAGGACTTTCTTTTTTATGGGGGTGGGGCAGTCGTGGGGCCTGAACTCTGATCTGTCCCTCAGCTCTTCAGCTCAGTTAGCGCTCTACCATTTGAGCCACAGTGCCACTTCTGGCTTTTTCTGCTTATGTGGTACTGAGGAATTGAACCCAGGGCCTCATGCATGCAAGGCAAGCACTCTACCACCGAGCCATCTTCCCAGGCCCCACAAGACTCTTATCTCCAATTTACCACCCCCAACCCAGAAATGGAGCTATGACTCAAGAAAGTGGTAGATCACTAGTCTTGAGCACAAAAGCTCAGGGACAGTGCCCAGGCCCTGAGTTCAAGCCCCATGATTGACAAAAAAAATCCTTCATGAGCCAGCATTAGTGGCTCATGCCTATAATCCTAGCTTCCCAGGAGGCTGAGATGTGATCAAAAGTCAAAGCCAGCACAGGCAGGAAAGTCTGTGAGACTATTATCTCTAATAAACTGCCAAAAAGCCAGGAGTGGAGATAGATGTAGCTTAAGTAGTAGAATGTTAAGTTTGAGCAGTGTTAAGGGACAGCATCCAGGCCCTGAGTTCAAGCCTCAGTACTGGCATATAGATGTTAACATTTAAAAAAATGCTTCCAAAAAAAAAAAATTTAGCCGGGCGCTGGTGGCTCACGCCTGTAATCCTAGCTACTCAGGAGGCTGAGATCTGAGGATCGAGGTTCAAAGCCAGCCCGGGCAGGAGAGACCGTGAGACTCCTATCTCCAGTAAACTACCAGAAAAGCGGAAGTGGCGCTGTAGCTCAAGTGGTAGAGCGCTGAAGAGCTGAGGGACAGCGCCCAGGCCCAGAGTTCAAGCCCCACGACTGACAAAAAAAATAAAAAAATGCTTCACAATGCAAATGAGTGTGCAGCTTCTCAGCTCTGCTTCTAACTACACAGGAGCCAGTTCTCTAGGTAGAACACGAAAAGGACAAGTCTGCCATCCTGTGGCTCAGTTGATCACGTGGCTCAAGGTGGACCAATGATATTCTATATTCCACATCCCATCACCCCCCCAGCAATTGGGAAAGTGGAAGAACAGTGTGGGACAAGGGCTCTGTGTCAGGGCCGTGCTCATCCCAGCCAGTCTGGGAAGAGAGAGAACGAGAGAGACAAGGAGAGAGAGAGAGACTCCGCTCCGAGCCACACAGCACTTACCGGCCACCACACCATGTCCCCTCCAGCCAAAAAGTAGCCTTTCACAGTGTCTCTTTTGGTCTTCACTGTGGACTGAAACAAAGAACAGAGAAACTTGAGCAATGAGAGCCACCCAAAGAGGCCTGGTCCCTAACTGCAAGCTGGGAAAACAGCAGGCACTGTCCCTGAGCTTTTACACTTAAGGCTGGCATTCTACCACTAGAGCCACAGCTCTACTTCTGGCTTTTCGTTGGTTAATTGGAGATAAGAATCTCATGGACAGCCAGGCCCTGGTGACTCAAACCTGTCATCCTAGCTACTTAGGAGGCTGAGATTTGAGGATCCCAGTTCAAAGCCAACCCAGGCACGAAAGATTCTTATCTCCAATAAATTATGCAGAAAAGGCTGGAAGTGGTACTGTGGCTCAAGTGGTAGAGCACTAGCCTTGAGCAAAAGAAGCTCAGGTACAGCACCTGGGCCCTGAGTTCAAACCCCATGACCAAGAATAAAAAAGGAGAAAGAACAAAAGAAAGAAAGAAAGATAGATTGATTGATTTGCTCTAGGCTTCTCCTCCCCCTTCTCACCCCCATCTGGCTTACCCATAGTCCTACAGCCAGGACAAAGAGGAAGTAAAGAACCAGCACAGCAATGTCGCCTGGCTCCAGGCTCTTCCTGGGAAATGCCTCCAGTGCATCTGACTGTGGAGGCTCCGAACTGCTGGTGACTCTCTCCATGGTGCTGAAGGAATCCTACCAATCCTGGGGAAGTAAAAATACTGGTTAGATGTCAGATCCTAGATCTTCCTCTTCTCACCCTCTGCAGCTGCCTCCCTGGAGCATCTGAGACAGAGGATCCACACAGAGGGGTGTGTGGTATACACAGAACTTCAGGAAGACAGAGTCACTATTCATTTATCCACTCACCCACTCACTTACCTGTCCATCCAGCCATTCATCCACTCACTCATCCATCCACCCATCCAACCAACCAACCATCCATCCATCTCATCCACTCATTTATCCTTTCCTTCACCTATTCATACATCCATTCATCCATTCATTCATCTGTCCAACCAAACATCCACACATGCCAGTCATCCACCCACCATCTATCTACTCATCCACTCATTCATCTATACAAACCAACCATCCATCCATCTTATCCATTACTCATTCTTTCATCCTTTCCTTCATCTATTCACTCATCCATTCATTTACTCATTCATCTATCTATTCATCCACTCATCCACTCAACAAAGCCACATCACATCCTTGTCTGATTTTTTTTTTTTTTTGGTTGGTCATGGAGCTTGAACTCTGGGCCTGGGCACTGTCCCTCAGCTCTTCAGCTCAAGGCGAGCACTCTATCACTTAAACCACAGCACCACTTCTAGCTTTTTCTGCTTATGTGGTGCTGAGGAATCAAACCCAGGGTCTCATGCATGCAAGGCAAGCACTCTACCACTGAGCCACCTTCCCAGCCCCTTGGCTGATTTTTTTAAAATACTCACTTGGAAAAACAAACAATAAACAAGTTTTTGGTGGCACTGGGGTTGGAACTCAGGGACTCATACTTTCAAGAAAGGTGTTCTAGCACCTGAGCCATCGTCCAGTCCTTTCTGCTTTAGTTATATTTCAGATAAACTCTTGTATTTTTTTAAGCAGGCCAGTCTCAGTCTGAAATCCTCCCATCTTTGCTTCCCGAGTAGTTGGGATTTCACTGGTGCCCAGCTTGATTGGTGGCTTTGATGCAAAAATAAGCGGAAGAAGGGAGGAGAAAAGGAGACCAGCTAAACAGTATCAAGTGGTCACAGCCCCATCTCATCTCCTGCAACACAGGAATGAGTAGCAGAAGTCAGATTCCCACTCAGTTCACCGCCACTTGGGCCTCTGTCGGGTCTAGTGGGTTTTGTTTTGTGCATGCAGTTTACTACAGTTTTTGTTTTAAGAGGTTGTTAACTTCAAATATCTAGATCTGAAGGGCGAGTTTATTAACTAGTTGTATTCCTGGACCTTTTGACATTAAAACTGATACAAAAAAGAAGGAAAGAAGGAAGAAAGAAAGAAAAAAGGAAGGAAGGAAGGAGGGAGGGAAGGAAGGAAGGAAGGAGGGAAGGAAGAAGGGAAGGAAGGAAGGATGGAAGAAAGGGAGGAAGGAAGGAAGAAAGGAAGGAGGGAAGGAAGGAAGGAAGAAGGAAGGAAGGAAGGAAGGAAGGAACTATTTGGGCTCCTGGTTTCAGAGAGCTCATCCAGGCTTGCTTGGTGCCTTGCATCTAACGGACACTGTGGCAGTGGGGATGTGTAGTAGAGGATATTTCTACTTCAAGTCTGACAAGAAGCAGAGTGTGAGGCAGGAAGGCATGAGGAACAAGAGACCACCCTGCTAAGCACCTGCTTCCGTCAGCTGCATCCCACAGCTAGCTCTATCTCCAAGAGTCCTCAAAGACTTCAACAGCTAACCCTGCTCAAAGCTCTTTAGTTCTAGGTCAAGCAGGCTGTGGTTCATGCCTATAATTCCAGCAGCACTCAGGAAGTGAAGGTAGGAAGATCTTAACTTGAGCCACATAGAAAGACTGCCTCAAAGCCAGGTACTGGTGGCTCACGCCTGTAATCCTAGCTACTCAGAAGGTTGAGATCTGAGGATCGAGGTTCAAAGCCAGTCTGGGCAGGAAACCCCGTGAGATTCTAATCTCCAATTAACCCCCAGAGAACCGGCTATGGCTGGGGCTCAAGTGGTAGAGCACTAGCCTGGAGCTGAAGAACTCAGGGACAGTGCCAAGGCCCAGAGTTTAAGCCCCATGACCAAAAAAAGAAAAGAGAGAGGGGGGGGAGAAGGAAAAGAAAGGAAAGGAAAAAGAAAGATGCCTCAAAAACAACAAAAGTCAGCTGGGCACCAGTGACTCACGCCTGTAATCCTACCTACTCAGGAGCTGGGATCTGAGGATTGTGGTTCAGAGCCAGCGGCGGCAGTCCATGAGACTGTTTAATTAACCACCAGAAAACTGGAAGTAGCACTGTGTCTCTCGGTGATACCGTGCTAGCCTTGAGTGAAAAAGGCCAGGGACACCCAGGCCTTAGAGTTCAAGCCACACAACTGACAAAAACAAAAAGGTCTGAGCCAGGTTCTTCTGGCTCACCTCTGTGATCCTAGCGACTCAGGAAACTGAGAGCTGAAGGATTGAGGTTTAAAGCTATCACACAGGCAAGAAAGCCCACAAAACGCCATCTCCCAAATACATAGCAAAAGGCAGGGCTGGGGGTGTGGCTCTAGTGGTAGACCAGCCATGAAAGCAAGCAAGCTGAGAAAGTGTGAAGCCTGGAGTTTAATCCAGGCAAAATAAAAACCCAAAGTCTTAAATTCGAAGTCTCTTGAGACATTGTCACCTACAGCCCCTATGACCTCTGTCTTGAGCTGGCTGCACTGGTTGCCTAAAACTTTCCTCTGTAGACAGACATCTCCCATTCCTGGCATATCCCAGAGTCCTGGGGTCTCCACTTCAGCTTAGGCTCAACGCTGGTAGCTTCCCACATCATCCTCACAGTAGCTGCGTTTTCCTTGTACCTTGTGATTTTCAACTCAATGGAGACTTGCCCATTTCTGTCACTGGAGGAGAAATGAGGGCTTCCTGCAGCCGAGCAAAATCTCAGGTCCTGGGGACCAGTCATAAAATGCATTTCAACAATCAGGCGCTGGTGGCTCAGGCCTGTCATCCTAGCTACTCAGGAGGCTGAGATCTGAGGGTTGTTTGTGGTTGAAAGCCAGCCAGGGCAAGAGACTCTTATCTCCAATGAGCTACCAGAAAACCAGAAGTGTCAAAGTGGTAGAGCACTCGCCTTGAGCAAAAGCTCAGGGAAAGCACCCAGGTCCTGAATTCAAGCCCTAGGACCCCACAACAGAAAGGGCTGGGAAGGTGGCTCAGTGGTAGAGCGCTTGCCTTGCATGCATAAGGCCCTGGGTTCAATTCCTCAGCACTACATAAGCAGAAAAAGCCAGAAGTGGTGCTGTGGCTCAAGCGGTAGAACACTAGCCTTGAGCTGAAGAGCCCAGGGACAGCGCCCAGGCCCAGAGTTCAGGCCCCACAACCAGCAAAAAAACAAAAAAGAAAAGAAAAGAAAAACAACAGAAAGGGTTGAAGCTCTCCTCAGGTAGGCAATGCTGACATATTGTGTCTTTTTTTTTTTGGCCTGTCCTGGGGCTTGAATTCAGGGCCTGGGCACCATATCTGAGCTTCTTTTGCTCAAAGTTAATGCTTTGAAATTTGAGCCCCAGTGCCACTTCCAGCTTTGTCTGTGTATGTGGTACTGAGGAATGGAACCCAGGGCTTCATGCATGCTAGGCGAGCACTCTACCACTGAGCCCCATTCCCAGCCCAGATACTGTGTGGTTTAACAATGGGTTTTGTGTTCTGTTCAGCTGAGGCGCAGGGTGGGGGCCTGGAAGCCCAGTGTCTGGTTTCTGAACTTGCTTTTTTCCTTTCACACATTTGAACCTACAGCTTCCCACACAGGGGCCTTGTGAGCAAGGTGAGCACGGGACTCGCTGCTTCACATCGGGGATGCAGGAGCGGCAACTAGAAGGTTCTAGAACATGACAGATCTGAGAGAGAGAGAGAAAGAGAGAAGACGTGGGGAGGAAGGGAAGAAAAGACAACTGATTGTGCTTTTTGGGAAGCCAGCCATCCTGGTCCCCAGCCTTGCCCAGACCCTGCCCCACCCCGCCCTCAGCCTGCCAGGCACCAAGAGAGAGAAAACTGACAAACAAGTTATTTATTAGTCTCAGCTCTGGGCCTGGGCCAGGGGAGGCCCAACCCATTTCCAAGCTGAGTGCCAGGGAAGTGGAGCCCTGCCCCCAGCGTGGGGGGGGGGGGGGGGAATGGGGCGGGGTGGAGGCAGCCTGCACCTGCGCCTCAGCCTCCAACTCCCAGGTAGAGCCCAGGCCCCGCCCTTCCTCAACGCACACACCTGTCCTGCGAACAGCCACCGCGGGAGGCTCTCAGGAGGCAGGGAAGTCAGCTCCCTTTCCCCTGAGTCCTGTCCTCCTATTTCCCCTGCCAGCCCTGGGAGGCTGGGAGAGGAAGACATAGAGGCTGATGGCCAGCTAGTGCGGGCTCTTGGTTGCGTCCTTCTAAGTCAGTGACAGAGGCAGGATTTGAACTCAGGTCAGCATGGAGGGTCTTTGTATTGGCATTACCAACTTCTCTTTCCTTCCTCCTTGCCCCTTTCCTCTTCCCCTCCAGCTGTCTCTGCTCTTTCCCACAAACCTTCATCTTCTGGCTCTGTGTTTTAGGAGGCGGAGGGGGGCGAGCATACATTAGGCTCCAGCTGTGTGCCATCCTCTGAGGAACTCAGTGGAACAACATTTACTCAGCATTAGGGTTCCCAGCTCTATGGGACGTCCTGAAAACTCAGTGGATCATTTATTAGCCACTGTTCATATACCAGGCCCTGGGGTAAGCCCTGGAGAATCAGGAAAACATACATTTATTAGGCCCCAGCTGTATGCCAGGCTCTATATGACATCCTGAAAACTCAGTGGACCATTTATTAGCTACCACCTGTGTGCCAATTTCTCTGTGCTAGGCTTATGCACCATGATCCTTCGATCTCAGTAACAAGTAGCAAGGATTACAGGTGAGAGTCACTGGCAGCCCCGTCTGGTATCTTTTCTTTTCTTTTCTCTTCTTTTTTTTTTTGTCTGTTGTGGGGCTTGAACTCTGGGCCTAGGCGCTGTCCCTCAGCTCTTCAGCTCAAGGCTAGCA